CTGTCTAGATTTGCCATAGCTTTCTTCCCCAGGAGCAAGCGTCTTTTGATTTCTTGGCTACTTCCTCTTCACTTTCTGCCATTTGTATCTTAGCTTGGTTTTAAAAAACTGTATAATTTACTTCAATTAATCTTTGAATGTTAGTAGCACATTTCAGAAAAAAAAATAGAAAGAATTATACACATATTTGAGTTATCCTAGCAGAGTTCCTTTTGTAACAATTGAGAAATATTTCAGTTTTTGAAATAGGTATTTGATGGAATGTCAACTTGTGGCTTTTATCATATAATTTCTTTTGCTGCCTCTTATTATATTTCCCAAAATAACTGTTTTCCTTCTTTTGTGAATGCTAAGTACTTCTGTAGTGTCATCTTGCAGTATTCTATTTCATTTCAATAGGAAAGCAGCAAATTAACATTGCATAAGAATATAATTTTTACATTTTGTACATAATGCTTATGGTTATATATTTTCAAAATCTTCATGAATATTAAAATGGATTGCCTGGTGCATCCAAGGATTATATAATCTTTTTGCTATAAATCATTTGACAGCTATATAAAATCAAAACACATTCTTCTATGTATTTCAATCAAAACTGAAATTTCATTTTCTATGTATACCAAAAATATATTTTGAGGTTTAGTTGTATTAAAAATGAAAGGTAAAATACATTTGTAATATTTGACCATTGCAAGTAAAAAGAAATCCTATGGTTTCTTGAAAATGCTTAGAAAAATAGAACTTCTTGAATTAATAAACTAGAGGAAGTTTAAAGGCAAAAAAGGGATGAGGTGCAACTAGTGAACCTCTATTTGGCATGCATACTCTTATTATGTGCGAGCAACTAGATAAGGAACAGTGATATTCTGTAAGTGGCTCACAATCACAGTTCAGAGTATCAGCAGTATATATAATATCTTTGAGGATTGATGGCAAGCAAATTATATTAGCTCTCTGTTTTGTTGTGCTAATGCTGTAGATCTTAGATTCTTTGTTTCCTGTAAATATCAGCATATGTGCTACTTCTGCAGAGTTCACTTTTCTAGAAAAAAATTTCAAATCAGTGACATCTGTGTCTTCATATTTACCTAGCGGTTACATCTTTTTCATGTTACCGGACCTTTATAGTCATTTTTCCCTTCTCAGCTATGCTGTAAGCCTTTCAGGCATCCCCAAAACATGTTTACTAACTACTTTAAAGTCACTAGATACAACTGGTTTCACACTCTTGTTAGTTCTTTCTGCCAAGCCATAATGTACTTCGTTCTTGGCGTAGAATAATATATGGGTCTATATGGGGAGATAACCCAATCTCCCCAGCATTGTCCATTCTATTGGTACATGGAGAAACATAATTCAATCAGATAACTAAAATGCATAATGCAAAATAAGAGATGAGATATAAATGCATAATCATAGATCAATTCTTAAAATTCTCAAAATCTTTAGAATATAGTAGAAAATAACATTTGAAACAGTTAGCTATTTAGCAATTATGTTCTGCATTTACAGTATATACCCTTAATTATAATTTCAGTATTTCTTATTATTGTCACTTAGTAGGCTAAACAATCATTAAACAGCACTTTTAGAATTTCTGGCACTAACTTTTTTTTCTAGACAGCCATTCTAATATTCATAGGCGTAATTCCAACAAAGACAGATTAGGTACTTTTTTTCTAACATCCCTGGAAAGCATAGCAGTGGCTTGCAACCTTCCTACTATGCATCTGTTATTTCTCTCTAATTGTCTGAAAGCCTGTGTCTGTAACAGAAACAAAGCAGCTGGAATTCAGTTTGAAAAAGAATGGGTGAAGAAAAGTTTAATGGTAGAAATTAAAATGAAATAACACAACATTGGATATAACATTAAATATAGAACTGTTCTTCCTAGAAGAAGTCTTGTGTGCTCAGTGTTCAGTTTTCATGAACATATTACAGCATGTGTACATTTTTAGTATATAAATTTCAGTGGCCATATTAAAGTTGCACTTTTTAAAATCCAACATTGAGTACCAAAGGGATGAAAGATGCCATGATAAGTCAATAGCTAATTTTTGTCGTTTAGAGATAAAGAGTAAGCCATCTATGATGAGTTGAGATTTGGGTGAGAATGGCTTAAAAGGAATAGTAAAAGATATGCATGAGTAAAAGATAACTTAGGTATTATAAATGATGTTGCTGTCAATGTGTATAATTATTTCCTATCTGAAGGCATTGAAACTTGTCTTAACCTATATTAGAATGGTAATTTTTAGGAATTCAGATGTATATTCCCTATCAACTCTTGCAAGCATTAGGATGAATGTATTAGCTTAATATTTTACAGATGCTGACAGAAGGCATTTATTCGTGGAATAAGAACAGGTTGATATACCTCCACCTTGTTCTCCTAAATATAGTGTTGAGGGCCCCAGATAACTGAATATCAAGCAAAAAAATAAGCTAAATGAAGGGAAAATATTCCTATGTAAACAGAAGTAAACATTTGTGCAATGTTGAATGTTACCCTTAAATCTTAAGCAACACTTATCTTCAGAAATACAGGTAGTTCACAGCAGAATTCAAAACACTCATTTTGTAACTGTCTTAACATTTGATACATATTACATTAATAGAGGAATATGGGGTGGGTAGCTTTAAGGTAAGGCATTTGATAAAGTAGACCATAACCTACTACTTGATAAAATAGAAAAATGTGGGTTAGACATTATCACCACCAGATGGATTTGTAACTGGCTGACCAACCGCACTCAATGTGTAGTCCTCAATGGAACTGCATCTACATGGAGGGAAGTATGCAGTAGGGTAGCCCAAGTCTCTCTTTTAGGCCCAGTACTCTTCAACTTCTTCATCAATGATTTGGACGGGTGGGGGTGGGGGATAGATGGGGAGCTCATCAAATTCGCAGACGACACCAGGAATAGCCAACACTCCAGAAGATAGGCTTAAGATACAAAAGGATCTTGACAGACTTGAATGTTGGGCGCTATCTAACAAAATGAAATTCAATGGTGAAAAAAGTAAGGTTCTACATTTAGGCAAGAAAAACAAAATGCACTGGTACAGTATATGTGGTACCATCCAGTTTTGGTCGCCACGATGTAAAAAAGATGTTGAGACTCTAGAAAGAGTGCAGAGAAGAGCAACAAAGATGATTAGGGGACTGGAGGCTAAAACTTATAAAGAACAGTTGCTGAAACAGGGTATGTCTAGTCCGATGAAAAGAAGGATTAGGGGTGACATGAGAGCAGTGTTCCAATATCTCAGGGGCTGCCAGTTAGAACAATTAACCAGTGGAACAACTTGCCTCCAGAGGTTGTGAATGCTCCAAAACTGGAAGTTTTTAAGAAGAGATTGGATAACCATTGGCTGTCTCAGCAATTCTGGGAATTGAAGTCCACAGGTTGTAAAAGAGCCACAATTGCCCACCCCTGGACTAGAAGACCTCCAAGGTCCCTTCCAACTCTTGTTCTATTTCTAAGGAAGTGCTTGTGGTGTGTTTTGATATCCCTAGGCATTATAGAGATCTCAAACTTCAGTTTTTCATCTTTATAGCAGTAGTAGTTAGACTTATATACCACTTCACAGTACTTTACAGCCCTTTTTAAGCAGCGTAAAGAGTCAGCATGTTGCCCCCAACAATCTGTGTCATCATTTTACTGACCTCAGAAGGATGGAAGGCTGAGTCAACCTTGAGCCGGTCAGGATCAAAGGAATCAAACTACTGGCAGTCCTGCATTCTAACTGTGCCCCCATGGCTCTTATATATTAATTTATAACTATAGCATTTAACAGTATCTACTGGGACCCACACAATTAATTTTTCTTTCACCTACAAATCTAAATGACACAAAACAAGTTTCAACTTTCATTGTAATATAGGAATGGATGCTACAGAGTGAGCAATATAACTTCAGTAATCTGAAATGCATGTTTAAATAGCACTATCATGGAGTACTCTGTTGTTCAGCCTTAAATTGGAATTAGTGAAAACTAAAACCCAATCTCAGTTATGTAAATATTTTCATAGCTTTATATCTGAAATATAAATTTTGGGGACTTGTGATTTGTATAGAAACATAATTAAATATTTATTTTAAAAGTTTAATTATTATTAAAAATAATTATTACATTTGTAATAATAGACATTCTTTTTGAAGATAAAATTTTTATTTCCTCATGCCAGTAAGTTAATATGGTATAATAAAGGATTTGTAGCATAAACCAAACCCTGTGTAAATTCTCTACAGGAGAATTTTAGGCATAGTTGGACTATATTTATGACAGGTTAAAATATGTTAACTGTTACTATGATTGTAGAAGAGTGATAATCCTGAAGATTATGAAGGTCATAATGCATGAAGTGACTAATTTATGATATAAGTGAAATATGAGCCACTTTTTTCTTCAGTGATAAATCTTGTATTGCTCCCTGGGTATTATAAACTTTTTTTAAAAAAAAATCTTTGTTTTTAACATTTGGAATTTTGGCATTTATTAATTTTTTGAATACATTTAATATGCTATATGAATATCTTATTTAATTATAAATTCCATTTTATGAAATTATTTTCGCGGACAAATACGTTAAAAAGAATTCCAGTGGTTAGTCCATGAACACTAGTTAAAGTTGTACTCCATGTGCCATTTTGTTTCAAAAGGGTTTGCATTTAAAATAGATGCAACTTCTAGGATTTTGTTGCTGTTTACTACAAAGCAATTTTTCACAAAACCATTTTCCATAAAATTTCAATTTAAGTTTCAAGAATTGATCTCATACATATTACTGTAATAATTATTAAATTTATATGTTGCACAACACCCAGAATTATAGAGGTATGGATAGTTAATCTGAACCATTTTTTCCAGTTTATTTGCAGTAGATATAAAGCTTTGAACATTAAAAAAAGGTCTATTTCTGTTTGCTTAATCATGCTTGTGCTTCTAACCTGAGAAGGTTAGAAATAATAAGTCTTTATTTTTTCCTTTTAAAGACGCTGTGTGGACAGTAATGACTGGACGTTTCCGATTGCCTGCTGGCAGAACCTACAATGTACGAGCATCTGAGCTGGCACGAGATAGACAGCATACAGAGGTGGTCTGCAATATTCTTCTTCTAGATAATACTGTACAAGCATTCAGACTTAATGTAAGTACGGTGTTTAGGAAGCATTCCTATAATACAATATTAATTTCATTTTTAATCATTTTATAACAAATTTAACACAAAATAGAATAATAGAATTGGGAGGGGCATTTATGTCATCAACTTCGACCTCCACTTTGGTACAAGAAACCAAATGAAAGCATCCTTGACCGCTTGCTATCAAATCTCTGTTTAAATATATCCAGTAAAGGAGAGCTTTCACAGTAACTACTTTCATTCCAAATGTCTTTACCATTTGGAATTTTTCCTGACAGTCAAGAAAATTTGCCTCCTTGTAACTTAATGCCATTATTTTGTGTCCTGCTCTCTAGGATGATAGAATATAGCCACTCCGTTTTCCTAAAAGCATCACTTTCTTTTAAGAACCTGAAGAGTGTTCTTAAATTCCTCACCCATTTTGATATTTTTAGGGCTAAAAATACTTTCTTTAGCCTCTTTTCCTTTCAAGACTTAATTTCTAGTCTTCCCATTATTCTTGTTTAAAGTATTTTGCATTTCTTAATGTTTTTCCGATAGTAAAAACAATAGTATTGAGCAGGGGTGAAATGTTCCCAGTTCGGACCGGATGACCCGATCCGGTAGCAATGGTGGTGGGTGGTTCAGAGAACCGGTAGCAAAAATCCCCGCCAGTTGAGCTGTGCGATCATCAGAGGCTGGGTTTTTTTACTTTTAAAAGCATTTTTTCAGCCGAAGGGGTTGTAGAAAAAAATGCTTTTGAAATCCTCTAACGATCCCTGCTAAGTTGTCTGGTCGTCAGAGGCTTTTAAAAGTGTTTTTTTCTACAACCTCTTCGGCCGGAAAAATGCTTTTAAAAGTAAAAAAAAAAAAGCCTCTGATGATCGTGCTGCTTAGCTGGGATCGTCAGAGGCTTTTTAAAGCATTTTTCCTGCAACCTCTTCGGCTGAGGAAGTTGTAGAAAAAAATGCTTTTAAAAGCCTCTGACGATCAGGCAACTCAGCTGGGATCGTTAGAGGCTTTTAAAAGTATTTATTTATCTACCACTAAAAATGACAAAATAGTAGTATGGTATAACCATTTTTTGCCTTTGTTCTTGCCTCTTTTACTGAGATTTTCTAGAATATTTTTGTATATTAACATCAGATATTTCTGTCCTGATCCTGTTACGAAGAAAAAGAACAGTTTAATATACAAATGATGGTTTAAGAACCAAAATGAAAACCAGAATAGTTTGGCTTTAGTCTGTTAACAGTGGTTTCATAAAATGGAATAATATGCAAGAAAAACCAGTACTAAAATTTCTAATTCATAGAATCTATAATCTGTTCAGCAATAGATTAGCACAAGTGACATAGGCAAACAGTTATTTGTTTTTCTCAGAGGCTCCTATTTTTAATACACAGTGATAATGATTGCATTTTTGGTCTATGGGCAACAGATAATATTTATATGATTAGTTCTTGGGGAATCAAGGATTTCTTTTGTACTTACTGTCATATATAAATAAAAGAAATCTATTTGAAAGTATATATTAATTTGATGATATAGTGGTAATTTCAAAATAAGGATTAAAAGTAAGGAAGCTGAGATCAGGAAGAGAGCAGACTTGTAAGAAGGCATACAGTATTTATCTTATTTATGTATTTTTCCCTCACATATAGTATGTGATGGACATTTGCTGAAAATAGAAAAAGCTGTTGAAAACATGAATGAGCAGGAGGTACAGATGGCTGAAGATGTCCCTGCTGAGGATGACCTTGAAGATCAGCCTCCCAAGCAACTTGGGAGGCGTGGAGCTTATCCCTGCTGCTCATGCATTTTAATCCTTTCTAAAACACACAAGCACAGGATTTCTGTCCTTTTTCTTTTGCCAGTCCTTGCCAGTTATCACTTCCCTTTTTCACATTTCCATTCAGTTTCATTTGGCCTTTCTCATATTTAACATAATCTTCTCTTAATCTTTTTCAACAAAGTTTTTTACTTGTCTTTGATTAAAGGAAGGTGGAGAATATATGCGCATATTGTATGTATCTAACACTGGTTTACTTGTATGCAAGAAAATGGTGGACACGTTTTTATAAGTAGAATACTTATTTTATCAAAAATAAAATAATATGATGCCTTATTTTACAAGAGAGTCAATTTGGTCTAGTGGTTGAGGAACCAGGCTAGAAACCAGGAGACTGTGAATTCTAGTCTCTCATTAAGCATGAAAGCTGGTTTGGGTGACTTTGAGAATTTAGTCTCTCAGCCCACAATATCAAGCTCAAGTGATAAGCCTGTTGATCAATTCCAGTCACAATCAATGGATCAGCATTGGGTTGATCTGGGGGGAAAAAGGGGGGCCCTGCAGTTGGGAGAATATGTGCTAGGAAGAAAAAAAACATTAACTACCTTTTTTATTACTCTTGGCCCTAATTTTTTTGGGGTGGGGGAGAATGTGATGTCTGGGAGTGTATACACACACACACACACACACACACACACACACACACACACACAAGATTTTATGCACATTAATATGTAAGTGAATAAATATAAATATTCACATGCATGTATCTATTGTGTGTGGAGGGGGATCACCAGAAGAGCTTTTAGTTAGAGTTGCACCTTTAAATTGACACAGTATAGAAAAGGGGTGTGGGTGTGTGAGATCCGTTTTGTGGGAGGGTGATGTTTCATAATTCTAGACCACCAATCTCTTTTCTGATTTTTCATTAGTGAATGTTGATTACTTTTTTCAGTGGAATCTTTGCAGTATTGCCAGTTTGCAAATTCTTACTGAGCTTGTTTAAAATACTGATCATGACCTAATTCTAGTTTTTTTTTAAGATATTTCTTGGGCTATTAGTAGTCAATATGTCTTGTTCCTTTTTCCCCCTGTCTTTTTTCTCTTTTACTTACTTGATTATATTATACTGGTTAAAGAAGTTTAAGACATTTTTAAGACATGAGGATTACACTGTATATACAGCATGTTTTACATTTCATGTCAAGAACACTGCAATAAGATGAGCCAGTTTTTTTTTTCTTTTTTGATAATACGTACAGAAGGAATATTACACCTGTGTTCTGAGAACCTGCACAGATACACTGACACTTACATGGCTCATCTACTTAGAAGCACACATAGAGAAGGTGTGGTTCAGTTTTGAGACTCTCTGGGAAGTATTTATGGAATATATGAAGATGTGAGTTGTCTGTGGCATTTGTTGGATTAAAACAACAAGGGCCTTCCTGTTTGGGTGGAAGTGATGCTAATATTACCTAGGTCCTTCTGTTCCTCCTACTCCTGTCTACCACTTAGTTTTGAATTTTTGTGGGTTGAAATTGGCAGGGTGTGTGTATTCATATGGAGAACTGTCCTTGCAACCTAAAATGATTTCCCCATGATCTTTTTATAACCTTTGCAGTACATACAGTAATATAGCCATTTTCTCCAAAAGTTGACAGAATTCTCCTGCTATACTTGAAAATAGAACTTCGCTGAATTAAATGTCTCAGTATTCCTCCCAAATAAAATGAAGTTAAAATAAGAATATACATAATGCATTTTTTTATTTTAATATTTTTGTATACTTAAAAATTAAAATAGGTATCTCTTTGTTTCCCCAAAAAGCAAATTATAACACAGCATATATATTTATGCACAATCATAAGTTTTCAGTGGTAAACTAATGTTACTTGAATTCACTATAAAATAAAATATTACAACAAGATTTAACATTAACATAGTGCAAAACTGTAGGTTTTTCTAAATCAAAATCTGATTCTAATTTGTTTATATTATTTTCCAGTGTATTCCCAGTATGTTTTGCAATTAAATTTAATTGTTATAGACATGTCAGTTATAACAAGCAGTAATTTTTACCCATTTCTGTCATTTGTTAAGTATTTGGTCTTTGCTACTGATCATAAGCAAGTTCTATGATTTAGGCTCATAAAGGAAAGTTATTTTCCCCCAAGTCGTGTAGACATACTGCACAGAACTAAAAATGTGGGAATGGAAAACATGTGTACTTGTACTTTCATGTACAAGTGCAATGTTTATCATTTAGTGCAGTGTTCTTAAACTGGGGGTAATTACTCCCGGTAGGGGTAATTTGGGCATATTTGGGGGTAATGGAGCACTTTGTAATAGCTTGTTTGTGAGTCGATGATCCAGTTTGGAATTGCTGCTGCTGAGATGCTTTATAAAACAAGAGTCTGCTTTTTTGTGGTAGTAATAACATCATTTGAGACTGAGAAATGGGATAATTGGATCAAAACAGTTCAAGAGCCACTGAGTTAGTGGATATTTAATTTTAATATGTACAGAAAGGAAATTATGTATAATTTGGCCAGCAGGTCAAAGTATGAAAGATGTAATGAAATAAGGTACAAGTACAGAGTCTAAAAGGAACAAAGGAAATAAAGGTGTGGTTAAACAGCATACCTGTCAGATATATGAGGAAGAGACAAGTTTATATTCTCATGGGCAGGGCAGACTGTTGAAAATGTTCTACAAGTTCTAAGTCTACAATGAAATTTAGTGGAAGTAGAGATCATTTAACTCTGAAATGCACATTGACATACAACCATTTTGACATGTGCAACTATTCAATTATACTTTGCAGAGAATCAATATTTAAAACATTGATATGGATAGTTCAACCAGTATTAACTTCTTATTAAATGTTTAACAATTATTTCAATAGACCAGGAGAATATGATCCTATAATCTCAGAATCAATGAAAAATGCAATAAAATTCCTCTGTTCAATTCAGTCACTGGGATGACAAGAATTTATTTATTTTTTTTAAAAAGGATGCCCTTTGTATCTTTGCCCCCTTTAGTTTTTTAATACATACATGAAAATGTAGACATAAGAATTTTTCTTGAATTTTTGTTGAAATTCTGTTGCAAAAAAATTACGAGCAAAAGAGTTGAAAGATGATGAGCATGTTTATATTTGTGTATTCCATTTAGGTATATGTTTGGTTTGCTTTGCTTTGCTAAATGTTTGAAAGAGATCTCTTTATTCCTAAATTTCTATATTATTTGGGGCTAGTGGAAATTAATACTGGCAGAATGTAAAGTTTTGGTTGAAACTTTAGTTTTATCTGTAAACTATTTTTGTTATTTTTTTCTTTCTACAGAAACATGATCAGGGGCAAGTTCTGTTGGATGTAGTTTTCAAACATCTTGATCTGACTGAGAGAGACTATTTTGGTTTACAAGTGGCTGATGATTCTGCTGATAACCCTGTAAGCTGTACTATATATTCCCATTTTCTCTTCTCTTGGCATTTGAGATTTTGTTTTATTGATCATAACACACATGATTATTCTGAAGTTGCTTATACTGTAGAAAAATTATTATGAGCAATATATAGGTGAAACTCGAAAAATTAGAATATCATGCAAAAGTTCATTTATTTCAGTAATGCAACTTAAAAGGTGAAACTAATATATGAGATAGACTCATTTCATGCAAAGTGAGATAGTTCAAGCCTTGATTTGTCATACTTTTGATGATTATGGCTTACAGCTCATGAAAACCATCACTGACACCCTCCATAAGGAGGGAAAGCCTCAAAAGGTAATTGCAAAAGAAGTTGGATGTTCCCAAAGTGCTGTATCAAAGCACATTAATAGAAAGTTATGTGGAAGGGAAAATGTGGAAGAAAAAGGTGCACAAGCAGCAGGGATGACCGCAGCCTGGAGACGATTGTCAGGAAAAGGCCATTCAAAAGTGTTGGGGACTTTCACAAGGAGTGGACTGAGGCTGGAGTCAGTGCATCAAGAGCCACCACACACAGATGGATCCTGGACATGGGCTTCAAATGTCGTATTCCTCTTGTCAAGCCGCTCCTGAACAACAAACAACGTCAGAAGCGTCTTACCTGGGCTAAAGAAAAAAAGAACTGGTCTGTTGCTCAGTGATCCAAAGTCCTCTTTTCTGATGAGAGCAACTTTTGCATCTCATTTGGAAACCAAGGACCCAGAGTCTGGAGGAAGAATGGAGAGGCACACACTGCAAGATGCTTGAAGTCCAGTGTGAAGTTTCCACAGTCTGTGTTGATTTGGGGAGCCATGTCATCTGCTGGTGTTGGTCCACTGTGCTTCATTAAGTCCAGGGTCAATGCAGCCGCCTACCAGGAGATTTTGGAGCACTTCATGCTTCCTTCCGCAGACGAGCTTTATGGGATGCTGACTTCATTTTCCAGCAGGACTTGGCACCTGCCCACACTGCCAAAAGTACCAAAACCTGGTTCAATGACCATGGGATTACTGTGCTTGATTGGCCAGCAAACTCGCCTGACCTGAACTCCATAGAGAATCTATGGGGCATTGCCAAGAGAAAGATGAGAGACATGAGATCGAACAATGCAGAAGAGCTGAAGGCTGCTATTGAACCATCCTGGTCTTTCATAACACCTCAGCAGTGCCACAGGCTGATAGCATCCATGCCACGCCACATTGAGGCAGTAATTGATGCAAAAGGAGCCCAAACCAAGTACTGAGTACATATGCATGCTTATACTTTTCAGAGGTCCGATATTGTTCTATGTACAATCCTTGTTTTATTGATTTCATGTAATATTCTAATTTACTGAGATTGTGAATTTGGGGTTTTCATGAGCTGTAAGCCATAATCATCAAAAGTATGACAAATCAAGGCTTGAACTATCTCACTTTGCATGAAATGAGTCTATCTCATATATTAGTTTCACCTTTTAAGTTGCATTACTGAAATAAATGAACTTTTGGATGATATTCTAATTTTTCAAGTTTCACCTGTATTGGTCATTGTTTCACTTTTCCACCTTAAAATAAAATAAATCTGGACATTTGTTTTCTGGTACAATATAAATATCTTCAGCTTATTTTCTCTGTAAATTCCTGGGTTCTTTGGCCCATTTAAATTGTAATAGGTGCCACTGAGAGGCAAATGGAAATCAAGAACATTCTTATCTTGTCTAGTTCTTGGCGTAGGCTGTACAGTTATCAGAAATATTTCAGCTCTTAAGGCAGATGTGAATTGATATTAGAAAGAATCTCTATTAGCTCTACCAAAGAATGCCTAGTGTTTTCTGCTACTGTTTATTCTAGGGACTTTAGAAAAATATTGGAGGCTGGTCACTAATTATCAAAGTTTGTAGGATCCAAACATTGATCTTTCAACAGCTTCTTTTAGAGCAGTGGTTCTCAACCTTCCTAATGCCGCAACCCTTTAATACAGTTCCTCATGTTGTGGTGACCCCCAACCATAAAATTATTCCTAAAACCATTGAAAATATGTGTTTTCCGATGGTCTTACGTGACCCCTGTGAAAGGATCATTCGACCCCCAAAGGGGTCGCGACCCACAAGTTGAGAACCACTGTTTTAGAGACTATGGAATACATATCTCTTGATATATTTTCACATGTTTAATCTATTTTACCAGTTTGCCTCTGGCACTTTGTTAACACTCCGGGATAGAGAAAGGTAAAACAACAGATATTTCAGTGACTGAGAAAAAACTCTTAACAAAGGTTGTATATTCTAATTTGAGAAATTAACACAGATTACGTAAATTCTTCCTTTTACTGTTATTTTTGCTCCCAAGGTCTGTGTAATATCTTTATTAAACATAAAATCCCTTTGTGTGTACATATGGCAGACTGCAACAGGAAAACAACATGCAATCCTTAGTTCATTCAGACTTTTTCCTGTGCTAAAATTGTGTATCATTGCTTTTAATTTCATCCAAGAATAAAGTAAGAAATACAGCAATGAATAGATATCTATTAATAATGGTCTAATCAGAAGCTATAATTAAATTCAGAAATGCATAATAGTAAACTAATACCCTGCTATTAAAAGTAGATGAATATTTGAGACAATAGTCCAAAATACAAATAATCATGAAAAGAGTTTTCTAAATCATGATAAAATTATAGCCAAAGTGCTCAAACAGAAAGAAGAGTGTAATTAGAATAAGCAAAAAATGAACAGAAATTCAAGGTAATTATTTTTATAATTGTAAGTATTTTCACAAATCACTGTTTGTATCTTATATTGTACCAGATACCCCCAAACTTTCTAAGACCTTAATGTCTCACTAATTTTTTTCATGGCACCCATAGCAGTTCTCAAACTATGTGTCCTGAGACAGTTAGGACACCATCATTTATTTGGAAATCAGAACTATGGTTTGCGGTTAATTACTGTAGCTCATCAGGAATATTTATTCTTTTTGAGTTTATTAAAATAAATATTTCATTAATTAACTTGGTTGGCTAGTTTTGTAGCCTATGATAATTCTTATAGATGGTTCATATATTGCTGTTATATGGCGATCATAATGGGCACTTCCAGAGGTGTGCTTTTACTCCAGCTTTTTATAATAATGAAAACACATAGGTAAGAATGTTGTAAATATTTTAATCTCATTTAATCTCTTGCAAAGTAGTTAATGTTCTTATGAGAGAAATGACATGAATAACATGTCATAAACTGAAAGAGCTTTGGCAAATTCATTAGTTGGGATATGTAAGAAAAGTATCAAGGTTAATTATAACTTGTTACTCTCAAAGTGGGCCCTTCCTTTCCCTTTCCATACGTATATAATTAAATTTTTCTCTTGTCTCTGTCTTGCCAGTTTTCTTACTTGATTTAATTTGCCATTAGGAAGGAAACACAGAGTAATTTGTAACCCAAAAAAATCTCATCCCCAAAAAGTATGTGCATAACAACAACAATAACACCAAAATCTAATATAGAGTTTATTAAATAGTGTGACTAGACTTAGGACAATATATTCAATTTAGCTGATCATCTATTATATCTGAATGGAATTTTATACATGCCTGTTTTATGTAAAATGAGAGTTTATAAGTACACAAAAGTATAAAGACAGATGGTTTCTGTTTCCTCCAAAGTTTGCTAAACTGAAATTTATTATATCAAGGTTTGCTGTATTACCAAACAGCTTTAACAAAGCTAACCAGCTTGATTTTAAAATAAAAAATTCTCCACTAATTATTCTTGGTAATTCTTAATATTCATCTTATATATTGATATATACTGCTGTATTTTCATCACATATTTTTAACCTAAATAACTTTTCGCCTATAACTTTCTCCATCATGTTTGCTCATTTTTGTTAATATAATATTTGTAATTTTTCAAATCTTCCAAGAATCATATGGTAAAATAGTATCTTTTGGGGGTGTGTGTGTGTGTGTGTGTGTGTGTGTGTGTGTGTGTGTGTGTGTTACCATAAAGTTACTTAGCAAAGGATGGCAGTTTTGTTTGTTGATTTTTATAAAAATGAAATCATAGTGATTGTACATTCCATGAATGTCAAATCCATCTATGATGATTGAGTCTGCAGTGAATGCGTTCTAGAAATCATTTGACTAGAAAAGCACTCATAAAATATTGCATACATAAATTAGTAACACACCCACTGGCTCATAGTACTGAGAGAAGCAAAATTAGGTAAGCGTAATTTCCTAAAGAAAATAGAACTATTTTAAACAGGATGCATGTGGCCTTTTGTTCTTTCTAATCACCAGGGTGCACATCTAAATTCAATTTATTCCAAATTGGTTTCTTGTCAAATTGGGGGGTGGAGAGGAAAGCCAATATGATGTGTTCATTACAGGTGTTTCCAGATGAATGTAATAAATAAATAAATAATTAAAATATACATCATTAATCCAGAAATTAAAACTGATAAGGAAAATAATTTCCTTTGGAGTTAAATGGGATTCTTTATTAAAAATTACATACTTGGAGATAAACTGAAATAATCTTGTTCTATGGATTTTTCCATATGCTTGCCTGACATTGATTTCAACTAATTTTGTATTTAAAATGTTTTGATGTATAAATTAGGGGACATTTAAATTTTTGGCATACCCTCCCCCAAAGCTGTAGGATAGTAAGCTTAAAACATGGTATGTTTATCTTGCATTGTTAGCCACACTGGCTACGTATAACATACCATATTTTTCAGATTATAAAATGAAAATTAGTTTTTGGGGAGGAAAACAAGAAAAAAAAATCTGCCTCTGCCTACCAGAATCCCATCGGTATTCATCTGGCTAGCGTCCTTGCAGCAAACAGCAAGCAGCCTGGTCAGCTTCAGCACGTTATCGCAGCACAAGCAGCTGATTGGTGGTTGGATTGGCCTGCTGCAATACCGCAAATCAGCTGTTCCAGGCTGCGGGGATTGCCACAGCCCGTCACCGCCTCCATGCGTTGCGTTTTTGGCTTCCGCCCTCTCCGTTTTAGACCCGTTCCAGGCTGCCAGGATCGTCACAGCACATAGCCGCTGATCGCTACCTCTGCGCGTCATGTTTTCAGCCTCCTCGCATCACGTTTTTGGCCTGTTCCAGGCGGCAGGTGTGCGGAGGCTGAAAAGGCAACATGTGGAGGCAGCGATGTGCTGTGGCGATCCCCGCAGCCTGGAACTGGTAAAAAATGGAGCATGTGGAGGCCAAAAACAGCCAAAGGGTGGGGGCTGGCAGATGGGTGGTGCTTCAGCAACATTTTCTGTATAAGATGCACAGACATTTTCACCCACTTTTAAGGGGGGGGGGAGAGAGTACGTCTTATACTCTGAAAAATATGATAATCTGTGAGTGCTGGTTCAGGGTTTCCAGAGCAGGTCCAAGAGTTTACCTGTAGCTGTCTGTCCAGGATGAACATGTCATGCATTTTATGAACTCTGTGCTCATTTCAGCATCACTGCAAACATGAAAATAAAAACTGGGTGTTTAATATTTCCTGGTTTTGAAATGTGGCAAATCGTATCTTGTTTTGGAAAAAATATAATAAGCCAATCTTTTTTCTTCCTCAGAGGTGGCTGGATCCAAACAAGCCAATTAGGAAACAGTTGAAAAGTGAGCAAAATATTTTATCTACTTTGAATAAAAATCATCAGTAAATTTAGGTAAAATTCTAAGTAAGCTAAAATATCAAATTCTAATCAAATGTTTTGGTTCATTTTAGGAGGATCACCCCACAATTTGAACTTCAGAGTCAAATTTTTTGTAAGCGATCCTAATAAGCTTCAAGAAGAATATACACGGTATCTGTCTTTTTTATTTTAATCAGTTACCTCTTTGTTTTTATTATGTAAAACATGCTGTTGGTGTTAAATTTGCATATGTTTGATTTTATAGAAGGCATTACGTAAGATGGTAGTACTTCAGCTTCAGAGAGTCCTAGAAGAATCCAGTTTTCTGGATCTTTTGCAGTCATTCTTGAGTGGGCAGTTCTAATTTGTGAGCATGGGGCAAGTAGGGCTGCATCCATGGTTGTTGCAATTTGGTTCAATGCGAAATCCATAATTCTCTTCTCCATGCTATCTAGTACCTACATGAAACCCTTAGGTAGGTTGTGTGTCAGTTCAGTGTAATGATGAAAATGAATTGTATATATATTCATCTCAAGTTAAACTGGGTGCTATCAAAGTTCTGACTCAGTGTCTGGAGACTGTCGGGGCCTGTTTGTCAGATCTGGCTTGATTTCAGTTCCACTGTTTACTTTAGATAGGGTTCCACTGGCCCTAAAGGAGCATGCCTGTGAGTTGGGGTTTCTTTGAATTCAGGCTTCTGCCGGTACAGCAGGTTGAACTATGGACACAAGGACCTTTCCAAGGTTTCACTGATAGGCCAGTTGCAGGTCTTTGGAGACAAGGAGGCATTTTCAACAGTCAGTCAACATTCTTCACTCTCAATCGGACTAAAGCAATGCATCCCATGTGGGTCCTTCCTTACATGATTACAGGAGATACAAAGTGCTAGCTTTTATCTTTAAAATCTACATGACTTGGTTCTTGTGTACTTATAGGCCCTTTCTTTGCAAAAATCAGGCCACCACATTCATGCTGAGTAGGGAGTATACTGTGCTGAGTGTTCCCACTGACATAAAAAGAGGACTGTGGGAGCCCAACCACATGCTGAATCTCCTTGAGTACTAGGAGGTAGAAAAGTACATAATTCCTTGTGTAAATATATAAGTATGTAGTAAATATTCTGAACAGCTTATTCATAAGCACATATTCAAATTATTCATAAACATATATTCAATTTATATGAAGTCTTCAATGTATTGATGCAAACTATTGCCTTTTATCTTTAATAAAAGTTCAATATAAGTCAAAACATTTTTTATGAATCCTCACTCTCAGTTCATGAATGGAAGCAAGACATTATCTGAGATGCAGAGAATATTAAAGCACCAGATTTAATGCATATGCATCCCAATAGCAGTTTATCTGAAACCTGGTTTGATTATTTTTAAAATGTGTATTAATTAAATGAGTGGTTGTAAATATTGATGATAGACCAGTATCATATTTCTCTGACTGATTAAAAATTATTCAGTTTCAGACATGGAAGAAATAGGAAATGGAGCTAACAACGTGAGATTGCCTAATAATTTCATTAGATTACAGATCTTCACCTCAATCTTTCGCATTAGTTGATTTATTTATTTTAGTATAATAATAATAAGAAATTGGCTTTAATTTTGTTTTGTTTTACAAGCCAAAATAAAGGCATTTCATAAAATGCAGATGTCAAAGTCAAAAGACATCTTAATTTTGTTAGATAAGAATATAATAGTAAGTTTCTCAACCTGTTGTTCTTGTTTACTTTTTCTTTAAGGTACCAGTATTTTTTGCAAATTAAACAAGATATTCTTACTGGAAGGTAAGATTTGTTTGTTTTACAAACTTGAGTGTCTTGTGATTCAGGGCAGGGATGGGCAGCATTCATTAAACACCATGACATAATGCATATAATCATGTATGCATTCTGTGAAAAATTTAAAATGTGTACTAGAATATTGTGATGGGACATCACATTTTATAATGAATTCAGAATTATACTAAATTGAGTTTAAATGCTAAAATGTTCTTACCTGTCTGCTAATATTCCTGTACTTCCAATTCCCAACAGGATGTAGAATTTCTATTCCTTCCAGGTAGACAATATGTTCTATAAAAAGTGACCATGTTTATTTTGAATGACATGTTGGATTCTGAGATATTGTTCATTTACATTTACCTCTTCTTGAGTTGCCAACTACAAAACATAAATTCTGATTTCACATGTTAATAGACTTGGAGATCTTGACAGTCTTTATCAGGCTAGGATATAAAACCATGGTTCATAATTTATAAGGTAAAGGTAAAGGTTCCCTTCTCACATATGTGCTAGTCGTTCCCGACTCTAGGGGGCAGTGCTCCGTTTCAAAGCCGAAGAGTCAGCGCTGTCCGAAGACTTCTCCATGGCCATGTGGCCGGCATGACAAAACACCAAACGTGCATCTTAATTTATAAGTCCTGGTTTATCTGGGTGTCAGGCTATCTGGTTTTGATATTAATAAGCAAAATTTCCTTTGTTTATGGTTGTAATAAGAGTAACACAACCAATGTTAGGCTGCATCAATATTCAGCTTGAACATAGGAAACCAATATTATCCAGAATCCTGGCTTAGTATTTTGATATGTCTATACAGATAGTCCTCTGTATAGGACTCTTAATGACTGCCCTGTTTAGTGACCATTTAAAATTACAATGTGCTGAAAAACTTTATAATTGATCCTCAACCTTATGTTACAGTGTCCCCATGTGATTACCATTCGGTAATCATTCTTTGCAACCAATGCACATTTACAACCATCGCAGTTTCCCACAGTTATATGATTGCTATTTGTGAAATTCACAGCTGGCTTCTGACAAACAAAGTCAATAAAGAAACCAGTAAAATCACATGATGACTCACTTAATGACCACAGGTGATTCACTTAACAACCACAGTGGAACCGATTTTGTAAATTCTATGTGGTCATGTGATATTTCACTGAATGGTTGCCCGATTTAACGATAGAGCTGATGGTCCCAATTGTGGTTATTAAATGAGGAATACCTGCACATATCAGTTTATTCATATCCAGAATAATTAAATGAATACTTTTAATCATTTAAATATCAATTGATAGGCATATTTTTATCTTTAAAAATAGGAAAGTATATCATGATTCAGCTCATGAAAGATATGTGTTCTGTACAAAGTTTTCGTAAGGAAATATATCCACACAGTTCAATAGGTTTGCCTAATTTAAATAAATTGATAAAACAGTTTGGATTTAAATATTATAGTTCATAGTGGAAATTTTTAGGTTTTGTTTTTTACCTTTTACAGATTGCCCTGTCCTTATAATACTGCTGTACTCTTGGCTTCCTATGCTGTTCAGTGTAAGTACATACGTAAGTGTTTAAAATTGAGAACATACTGGTTAATGGTAACATTATGCCTTGAATAAAGTAACATTATGCCTTGAATGAATTCTGGTTGATTTCTTTGCTGACCCATTTTTTATTTTCTTGGCTATCCACAGTATTTTCAAGAGTCTTCTTCAATATCAAAGTTCAAAAGCATCATCCCTTTTCTATCCTGCTTCTTCAAAGTAAATTTTCAATTACATAGAGTGCCACAAAGAAAATTAGTTTGCATTAATTTATATTTACATTTAATCTTAGTCTTTTTTTTTTATTGTGAATGTCATTAGCATAACACAGGTTATTTATGTTTCATCCAGGAGATGGTCTGGAATTCTCAATTTTCTAAATATTTTCTACAGCATGACATGACAAACACAATTAAAAGACCCTTTTTAAATCAATTAAGTACACATTGACTTATTTTGGTATTCTTTGGCTTTCTCAATGTCCTGCGTGCATTTCTCATGTTCCTAAGCCTTTTCTAAATCTAGCTTGAACATCTGGCCTATTCCTTTTCCTGGAATATACCAGGACTCTAATCTGCATTGGATGATCCTAAACATTATTTTACTAGCATGTGAAATTAAGGATAGTGTACTGTAGTTTGCAGATTCTGCTAAAACCTTTTCTTTGCAATTAGTATGTAGATCAGTACCTTCCAGTTCGTTAGATACTGGAGTTTTTTCTTCCAGATTTGCTACCACAGGTTAGTTAGAACCATTATTTAGTTTTCTTCTGTTGTTTCATGTATTTCTGTAGATATTCCATCAATGTAATGGATGGTTCTGACTGGTTCTGGCCAGAGTGCTGATCTAACTTCATCTTCTAGTACTAGATGTTCTTGTAAGTAGGAGTATCTTCTATGGCATCTGCGATGTTAAAATCTCTATTGTACATAGTTTCAGTGTATTCTTTCCATCTTTTTTTTTATCTTCTTTGGAACAGTAACTATCTGTTCCTCTATTGAAGTGAGCTGCAATTCACAAAAGCTTGCAACTTGAAATAAAAAATTTAGTTAGAAAAAGTCCTACCAGTCTCCTTCTGATCCTTTGCCATCATCAACTAAACATAGTTTTTCTCGTAAAGAACTGTCTATTGGTGTCCTTTAGTGTACTATTTTGAAGTTGGAACTCATTTCTCATTTTGGGGATTTTTTTGGAAGACTTACCCCATTTTTACATGTCCGTTTCCATTTTCATTTACAGTTTTGTCTCTTCTAACAGCTATTTAAAATTCTTCCTTGTCTGTTCCTGTGATTATGGGGGTGGGGGGAGGGAGTGTTGCTTTATCTCTTTTCTTTTTTGCAATTTTCACTATTTGGTCTGACATACAATTTGCTTTCTTCTGTTTCTTGATCTTTGGCAATCTGTTTACACATTCATTCTTAACAAATTCTTTAAGTTTATTCCTTAGTGCCTCTGAACCCTTATCAATGAGGTCCAAAGCTTCAAAGCTTTCCTAATATTCTCCTTAAAAATGGTGTGTATGTGCTCAAGGTCATATAATGGAAACTGCTTGGCTTTTTTCTTCCACTTTACCTTAACTGGGAAATTGCATATGAGCAATATCTAATCTGTTCTACAGTTGGTCCTGCCCGTATCTTTGTTGTTAATAATTGAGCTCTTCCACCTCCTTCTGCCAATAATATAGTCAATCTGATTTCTATGTACTTCATCTGGGAAATAACATATATGAAAAGTGTTGCTTTAAAGTTTGTGAACTCTTGAATTTTTAATATTTCTGCATAAAAGTGGCCTAAAACACAATCTGATTGTATAAGTCTTAAAATTAGATAAAGAGAATCCAATTAAATAAATGAACCATAAATATTATACTTGCTCATTTATTCAATGAGGAAAATGATCCAAAGCTACTATTTGTGTGTGGCAAAAGTAGGTGAACCTTTAGAATTATCAGTTAATTTGAAGGGGAAATTAGAATCAGATGCATCAATCATTGGAATGATTATCAGATGTGAATGTGGAAGGTCCAGCATTCTTTAAAGAACACAACTCTCGGTATTCACTATTAAAGTCTGATCTTCATAGGCATGTGAAAGTGTATCATGGCTTGAACAAAGGAGATTTCTGAGGACTTCTGAAAAACAGTTATTGATGTCCAGCTGGCTGGAAAAGGTTACAAAACTACTTTTGAAGAGTTGGACTCCATCAATCCACTATCAGGAAGATTGTGTACAAATAGTAGCAATTCAACACTTTTGTTACCTTCCCCAGGAGTGGTCAACTAGTCAAGATCACACCAAGAGTAAGGCATGTAATACTCTGGGAGGTCTCAAAAACCCCTAGAGCAATATCTTAAGAAGCTAAAGACCTGCCTTGCATTGGCAAATGCTACTGTTCATGAAACCACCATCAAAAGAACACTGAACAGTAATGGTGTGCATGACAGTATTGCAAGGAGAAAGCCACTACTCTCAAAAAAATATCATTGCTTCCTGTCTACAGTTTGTGAAAGATTATAAGGCTATTGGAAAAATGTTCGATGGATGGATGAGATCAAAAGAGAATTCTCTTGCTTGAATGAAAAGTGTTGTTTGGCAAAGGGCAAATACTAGATTTCAGTATAAGAACCTTATCCCTTCTGTGAAATTTGGCTTGGATGTGCTTGCTTTCTCTGGACCAGGATGACTTGCCATCATTGATGGACCTATGAACTAGACATCCATGAACTGAAGCTCAAGAGAAAGTGGGTCATGCAACAATACAATGACCTAAAATACAAAGTAGTACAGCTAAGAATGATTAATGCTAAAGTAAAAATTAATGTTTTGGAATGGGCAGTTCTATAGAAATGTTATGGAAGGAGGGTAGTTCCTGTGTGGAAACTTTCCAGCATCCCTGAGTTGAAGCTGTTCTGTAAGAGAAATGGGCTAAAATTCCTCCAAGCCAATGTGCAGGATTGATCAACAGTCATTAGATACATTTAGTTGCAGTTATTGCTGCCCAAGGAGGACACTTCGCTTACTGAAAGCAGAGGTTCATATACTTTTGCCACATATGTAGTACAAATCCATTGACAGTCACTGATATATGTCACAAGTTTCTTATTTCTGTCATAGGGCTTTCGGATACTGTGTTCTTTTTAATATTTAAAAAAAGTTTAAAGGTGAACAATGCATACTTCAACTTCAGATTGTGGCACATAATTTTGAGATTTGTTGTATGAGTTTAATCTTATCTAACTGTGTCTATACTCACTTATTTAGACTTATATAAAAATTTTCAATATAGAAGAAAACACAGTTTAAAAATCTGGAATATTAGAATGTTATTGGACCAATATATTTCTTGTGAGAACAGTTGCACTAGTTCAATGATGGTGAATCTGACTTGTATGTCAAAGGTGATACAACATGACATTTTAGGTGACACGTCAGCTTTCAACGCCTGACAACAATTAATCTCTAAAGCATGCCCTGTACTTGTGTGAGTTTTGATGGCAGCAGAGAATGGCATGTGTTCTCGCATAGCCTCTGGAATTTGCACAAGAACAGGGTGTGCTTTCACACAGTTTTTGGAGCCTGCAGAGGCCATGGAAGAGCTTTCTCTGAAGTTTCCAGACAAAAGACCTTGTGCAACTCAGAGGAGCCCTGGGTAGGCCACAGGGGTCTGCAAACAGAAAGAGAAAATTGCTTGAAGGTAAATGGCACGTGGCAGATCCTGGGTAGCATCTGGGGGAATGATATGAAGCAGCCTTTTTGAGTGGCAGCAGTGAATTAGGGCTGACGTCAAAGTCTGGGCCTTTATTTAAGGCCCAGCTCAGCTCTAACACATCGAGAATACTGTTCAGAGTGGCCTAGATGGAGGTTGGAAAATAGAGAATTGTTTCTCATTTGTTTGGGGTGGGGGGGGTTAATATGTCAGCATAATCAAGTTGAGCATTTTTTTTTAATTTTTGACATTCCAAGCCCAAAAGGTTTACCATCATTGCATTAGTACACAGAAACATACATTATTTTTTATAACAGTCTAAAAGAAGTTATTTAAAAACAAGTCTAAGAACATTGTATGCAGCTCAGCATTTCTTTGAAGTGTTATTTGCAGTAACTGCCACTCCCAGGGAGGCACGTAGCTTTATAAATTGAACTGTAGCTTATCTCTTTGAAATTGGGTGTTGTTCAAAGAATAGGTTTTAGGGGCACCTACCAATGCAATTTTGTCTATATTACTATAGTGGACAATGCACATAAATATACATTTTTCCAAAAATATTTAATACTGTTCAGTGTTGCTTATAGAAATACAGATAGTTCTTGATTTATGACCATAATTGAGCCCAAAACGTCTGTTGCTAAGCAAGACAGTTAAGTGGATTTTGCTCCATTTTATGACCTTCCTTGCCACAGTTGTTAAATGAATCACAGGAGTTGTTTAAGTTAGTAACATGGTTGTTAAGTGAATCTAGCCTCCCCATTGACTTTACTTGTCAGAAGGTCGCAAAGGGGATCACATAACCCCAGCACACTGTGACTGTCATAATTTGTCATAATAATAAGTTGCCAAGCATCTGAATTTTGATCACATGACCATGGGGATGCTGCTAGTGTAAAAACTGGTCATAGGTCACTTTTTTCAGTGCTGTTGTAACTTCAAACAGTCACTAAACAAACTGTTCTAAGTCAAGAACTAACTGTACTGTCAACAGATATTTAATATTAGATTGGTACTAGTATATCAAATAATTCAATCGAATTATATATGTGATTCAATGAAAAATATTTTGAGGGCTATTCATATGGAATTCATAGGACTTGCTTTCAAGCAAACTTGCACCAGATGGTTGAAGTTTTTCTGGCACTAATATTCAAGAAATGATTCATGTATATTCGTCTTTATAGGACAACATTCAAATTGATTCATTTGTGGAAAGATCTGAGGAGATAAACTGTTTTTATTTCCATATCTTCTGTTTGTTCTGCAAGTTGTTGAAACAGGCTTGCTGTTATATAAATAGCTTATTTTAACTTTCAGCTGAACTGGGAGACTACAACCTTACAGATAACTTCCCGGGCTACCTCTCAGATTACTCTTTCATCCCTGGCCAGCCTCAAGACTTTGAAAAAGAAATATCCAAACTACATCAGCAACATATGTAAGCATGACAAAAATATAAAGTCATAATAAAAAAAATGACATGACTGATTCTCTGCCTGCAGAACTATTAGGTGTGTGCAGATCAAAAGTAGCCGTCTGAATTATAACCTAGCTTTTTCCATGGTGTGCTATTTACTTCTTATGAAGAAATAAAGCATTTAAAGCAAACATATAATTGCAAACCCATAAAAAAGAGATTTTGTGAAAGAGCACACCCTTGCCCTTAAGGGTTTGATACTATATTTATGTTGAGTTCCTGCTAACAGGAACTATTAAATAAGGTATGCAAAAATACACTTTTGCAATCAACCATTTCTGTACAATACTGAAACTGCATTCTTCCATATTTCATGCAGAAAGTTTTGTTTTTAGGCAAGGGTTTACCGGTAGATTTTACAAGCATTTTAAAAGAATTTAAAGTTTGCTTATTTTTGCCTCCATATAGAGGTTTGTCTCCAGCTGAAGCAGAGTTCAGTTATCTCAGTACTGCCCGAACCTTAGAACTCTATGGAGTTGAACTGCACTATGCAAGGGTAGGTTTGAATTAATTTCTACTATTTTAGTGGGTATCATCTGTAAACTTGTTTTGTATGGATTATCAATTTTAAATACATTTAAGTATTCAGAATAAATGAGCATGAATTAAAGTGTATAAAGTGATATATTCAAAATTTAATCCAATTATGTTTTGTTTTATATAACCCATGCAATTAAAGCTTTTAATAAAAATTCTGAACTACAAACCTGGCTTGTGAAGTAGTTAGTATTTTAAAAGGCTGCAATTCGGTCTACCTTTACATACAGTCAGGTCCAGAAATATTGGGACATTGACACAATTCTAACATCTTTGGCTCTATACACCACCACAATGGAGTTGGAATGAAATAAACACAATGTGTGTTAACTGCAGACTGTCAGCTTTAATTTGAGGGTATGTACATCCAAGTCAGGTGAATGGTGTAGGATTTACAGCATATGTGCCTCCCACTTGTTAAGGGACCAAAAATAATGGGACAGAATAATAATCATAAATCAAACTTTCCCTTCTTAATACTTGGTTGCAAATCCTTTGCAGTCAATCACAGCCTGAAGTCTGGAACGCATAGATATCACCAGACGCTGGGATTCATCCCTGGTGATGCTCTGCCAGGCCTCTACTGCAACTGTCTTCAGTTCCTGCTTGTTCTTGGGGCATTTTCCCTTCAGTTTTGTCTTCAGCAAGTGAAATGCATGCTCAATGGGATTCAGGTCAGGTGATTGACTTGGCCATTGCATAACATTCCACTTCGGTTCCTTCAAAAACTCTTTGGTTGCTTTTGGAGTATGCTTTGGGTCATTGTCCATCTGCACTGTGAAGCACCGTCCAATGAGTTCTGCAGCATTTGGCTGAATGTGAGCAGATAATATTCCCCAAAACACTTCAGAATTCATCCTGCTGCTTTTGTCAGTAGTCACATCATCAATAAATACAAGAGAACCAGTTCCATTGGCAGCCATACATGCCCACGCCATGACACTACCACCACCATGCTTCACTGATGAGGTAGTATGCTTAGGATCATGAGCAATTCCTTTCCTTCTCCATACTCTTCTCTTCCCATCACTCTGGTACAAGTTGATCTTGGTCTCATCTGTCCATAGGATCTTGTTCCAGAACTGTGAAGGCTTTGTTAGATGTTGTTTGGCAAACTCTAATCTGGCCTTCCTGTTTTTGAGGCTCACCAATGGTTTACATCTTGTGGTGAACCCTCTGTATTCACTCTGGTGAAGTCTTCTCTTGATTGTTGACTTCGACACACATACACCTACCTCCTGGAGAGTGTTCTTGATCTGGCCAACTGTTGTGAAGGGTGTTTTCTTCACCAGGGAAAGAATTCTTCGGTCATCCATCACACTTGTTTTCTGTGGTCTCCCAGGTCTTTTGGTGTTGCTGAGCTCACCGGTGCATTCCTTCTTTTTGAGAATGTTTCAAACAGTTGTTTTGGCCACGCCTAATGTTCTTGCTATCTCTCTGATGGGTTTGTTTTGTTTCTTCAGCCTAATGATGGCTTGCTTCACTGATAGTGACAGCTCTTTGGATCTCATCTTGAGAGTTTACAGCAACAGATTCTAAATGCAAATAGCACACTTGAAATGAACTCTGGGCCTTTTATCTGCACATTGTAATTGGGGTAATGAAGGAATATCACACACCTGGCCATGGAACAGCTGAGAAGCCAATTGTCCCATTACTTTTGGTCCCTTAACAAGTGGAAGGCACATATACAAACTACTGTAAGTCCTACACCGTTCACCTGAGTTGGATGTACATACCCTCAAATTAAAGCTGACAGTCTGCAGTTAACACACATGGTGTTTGTTTCATTCCAACTCCATTGTGGTGGTGTATAGAGCCAAAGATGTTAGAATTGTGTCGATGTCCCAATATTTCTGGACCTGACTATGAGTAAATATTAACTGCTTCTAAATTGCATTCAAAGATGTTGTTTTCACGTGGTGTGCTTAAAAAATTGTATTGATGGAAAATAACTTGATTCTCTTAATTTTCATGAGGCACCTTATAACAATTTAAATTCATAACTTGTTAAAATTAAAAAAGAAAAGTTCGTAGTAGCAAGTAAGTAGTAGCTATAAGTAGCCATTGAGTGCTGAGTTTTGAGTTGTTTCCTCTCTTCCTCTTTTCTGCACTTGATGAGCCAGTTATATCGAAAAGAATTTCATTGATTGTAAGAAAGATGAGCTGAGTTAGAGAGGAGCTATCTTATTTGGGTTATCTAGTTTTGGAAATCTAGTTATTGAACTTCGATATTGTTAAATTTTAAATGTCATATATCATATATTTTTAGATTGTTATTTCTGTAACTGTTTGTTTTATCCTTTCCTTTTCTTTCTTTCTTTCTTTTCTTTTTTTTTTTTTTGAAAAGGCCTTCGGACTATTCAATAAAAGAACTTACCTTACCTTACCATTGAGTGCTGAGTTTTGAGTTGTTTCCTCTATTCCTCTTCTCTGCACTTGATGAGAAGATGGAAAAACCATATTAATTTTCTTAATAGTAGTACTCAGCTGAGCATACAATCCATTGCTAACACATACATTTTAGCCCAGTAAAAGAGAAAAAATCAGGCATATGTTGAGTCTTTGTTGTGTTTGGATAGATGTATATGCAGAGTAACCCCCACTTCACAATCTCAATTGTAGCAGTTAACAATCACCATTATTTTTTCTCCTCCCCTTTCCCATTGCATCCCCCCATTTCATTTAAGTATATAAATACTTTGTCATGTAATATAAGAAGCGAGTATCAGCTTCTGAAGTCTTATCACAAATAATAAATGGTTGCCTTTAAGATCAAGGTTTCATAAACTTTGCCCTCTTTCATAGAGGCAATTCTTACCTATAGTAATGAAGAGCTAGAGAATCAGGAAATGCATGTGATCTTATAGTTAGAGTTCATGATAGAATCAAGCATGTTTGTTCAGTGTTTCACATGATTTTTAATCAGAAATGGACGATTACACTGCGTAATTAACTCTTACTTATAAGAATTAATTCAATATATTTGCTGGTTAATCAATTAAATATTGATTTTTTTCTTAAGCCCAGAAAAGAGGGAGAACAAGTTTTGGAAGAAGTCTAGCAACCACTCCTTATTGTACAAAGCATAATGTTGTGATGGTATCTGTTTCAGGGCATTTAAAGATGGCCGTGCTTAATCAGAATGTTCAGTTATAATGTTACCGCTAGGTTTCTACCACAATTGAGAACAGAATCTTGGTCACTGAGTGAAGTGAAGTGGTTGTTAAGCAAGATATCACCTGACCTCCTTGCTCAATGACCACAACCCCAATATTCCCAATTGCAGTCACTGAACAAACTTGTGGTTGTTAAATGGACAGAATTCCAAGTCCCAGGGCCAGAGTGTTTTGAGTGGGGAGACTCTGCTGGTGCAGGCTATGTGTGAGTTGTGAGAGTCCTGCAATAGAGTGCAAAGCCACAGCCACCCCTGGGGACCTCAGCAGTCCCAGCCCAGCAGCATGGCCTCTTACACAGGTATTTTCATAACCTAGCAGGATACTATATTATTTCAAGTTTTGTGATTATTCTAATTTTCTTCCGCACGGTAGTTCCTTAAGATCAATTGTGTTTAAATAGATATAGAATAGTTCTTTATTGGGGAAAAATACAGGAGAATCTTAGGACATTGATTGATAGTGAGAGTATGGGGAAGCAGAAAAGCCAGAATATGATATTAAGTCAAAAAATGCTTTCTTTAATGCAAATTGACATTAGAGACTCATTAAGGAAGACTTATTGTTTCTTTACAGAAAATAAAAGTTGTAATATTTCACATAAGAAATGAATAAGTATTCATAATTTTCTTGTTCTTTTTATAGGATCAAAGTAATAATGAAATTATGATTGGAGTAATGTCAGGAGGCATACTCATTTATAAGAACAGGGTACGAATTAACACCTTTCCATGGTAAGGATATGTTTTAAAAGCATCATTATTTGCTATGTACAGTTATTCCTCACTGAATGACACTAAATAGGATTGGAAACTCCATCATTAAGGGACATGGTCATAACTAAGTTAAGCAAGGACTTCATGTGACCTCACCTTGCAGCATCTTGCCAGCTTCCCTCTTGACTTCATTTGTCGGAGGGCAGCAGGAAAGGTTACAACAGGGGTGTCAAACTGGTGCCCCATAGACCGGATGCGTCATGCGCAGGCCATGCCCATCCCAGCTCCATGAAAGGGGGAAAAAGTTGCAAAATGTCACGTGACAGCAATGTGACATAGCGAATTTGACACCAGTGGGTTACAAGTTGCAATAACATGACTGCAGGGTACTGCAATGGCTGTAACTGTGAGGACTGATCATAACTAAGATTCATGAGTGTAGTCAGCATCCAAACCTTCACTAGATGAGTAGTTGTTAAACAAGGACCACCTATATTACAGAGTGATAGCTTTCATTTTTAAGTATATATAAGATCTAAGTTGGTCACCTTTTCATAATACTAAGAATTGTAAAACAATGCCTCAGAATGGTAATATATAGTATATTTTTATACTACATGCTGCAGGCTTTAAATTTTGGGGGGATAAAACATGTCGGACTCATTTTTAATCAACTCTGAAGATCAGCATTCAATATTAGGCCTTCCTGACCAATTACAGTTTCCAAATGTTCTTTAAGGACAAACTCATGCAAAGCACATTGCAGTAACTAAGGTAAGAATGGTTGTGAGCAGTGTCCTTTGATCTAGGAAAGGACCTGTAATGATATGTGAGGAAAAACTTGAGAGACAGGATAAAGAAAAGCTGCCCAGACAACAGATAAGAGAGGATATAGCCAGCAGCTATATAATGGGCTGAGAAAGAGGCTCAGAAGTAACTCTCCCTAGATTTTCATGCTGTAAAGGAAAGAACAGGAGATTTTTATTTTCAGACTTGCAAGATTCTATTAATGTAGTCTTACAATAAAATAAAGTAATCATCTGGCTATATTTCCTGTCCAGTCTACCTGGGAAGGCTGATAGGGTACAGATGGGCACACAATATATGTTTTTCTCTTTGAGCAGGAGCCAAGGTTCCTGGAGAACCCCCAGATTACACACTACCTCTGACTGGGGGAATGTTGCCTCAATGCCTCAACCAAAGTTAAAGATGTCTGATCATCAGATATGAAGGATCCTAAATCCCACAGCCATAGTCTCATTACGGTTGAGCTGAAGCTAATTCTTTCCCATCCAGGCCAGTACAGCCTCCAGGCATTGGGAAAGCACCTTGATAGCATCACTTGGGTGGCCCAAGGCAGAGATGTACAGTAATGATACTTAACTCTGTGCCGACAAATGACTTCACCCAGTAGTTTCATGTAAATGTTAAATAGAAACAGAGAGTGTTGAGCCCTTCTGCACTTGACAGACCAAGGGCCTAAAACTGGACTTCTCCCCTCACTATCCCCCCCCCAAACACCAATTAGAATTGACCTTGGAGAAAGGAGAAGAACCACTGATGAATAATGCCTCCCATTCCCAATCCTGTCAACTGGTTTAGAAGGATACCATGATTGATGGCATTAAGAGTTCAAGCAGGGCTAGGGTTAGGGTTAACTACATAGGATACCTATACCATCCTTATCTCTGCTCCACTTGTTCACTTAATTTATCTTCTCCAGTTATTGAGCCAATAAAGACCTATATTATTAGAGATAACTTTTTTTAAAAAAAATCCTTGCTCATGATTAAGATGAATTTAAATGGTTTTGTTTCTTTATGCATCAGTATGGTATTTTCCAATGATAATAATGGGAGCTACAGTAGAGCAAATATGCCACCTTCTCTCCAGTGTTTTTTGTTCTTTGATGACCAATAACATTCTTAATACAGTGCAAGTAAACTCGCCTTTCTTTCTTTCTTTCTTTTTTTAAATATTTTTTTTATTTTTTCAAACATAAACATAAAATATATCTTTCAAGAACAAAGTCTCATAGATAGGTACAATCGCTTACATTTCTTTAACAAGCTCCATTCACCTTCTCTATGGGAGCACCTGCCATCTGGAACGAGCTCCCCCCAGAGATATGGAGGATCCCGGATTTGCGCACTTTATGCTCTGCCCTCAAAACATTCCTATTCCAGCAGGCCGGCCTGGCCTAACCTCTTTTTTAAACTGTTTTTTAAATTTTTTAAATTTTAAATTTGTCGTATAAAAATTGAGGTTTTAAATTTTGTTTTCTGGGCCAAATTATTTAATTGTATTTTAATGGTTTTTAACATTTGTATTACATGTATTTTATCTTTTGGCTGTTCACTGCCCTGAGTCCTTCAGGAGTAGGGCGGTATATAAATTCAATAAACTAAACTAAACTAAACTAACTTATCTTGTAAATGTTGAATACAGTTACCATCCTTGTCCAATTAATACATCTGAAGAAATGATTAGCTTATTGTGATTTTTATTTTTTTTAGGTTGAAAATCATAAAAATTTCTTTTAAGTGCAAGCAGTTTTTCATTCAACTTAGAAAAGAATTGGTGAGTATTGATACTGCTAATTAATATATTTCATACTAGATTATATTTTATTTTGAAAATGTTCTCTGTAGAGCTTCATATCTGATTAAAATATAAAAGTATGTTAATTTTGTAATTGTCTAGTGGTAGGTAGGCTAGGTTATTTTTAATACAGTAAATCTGGCTGAAATTATTCTTTGTGCTTAGAGTAACGAGGAGATTGAAAAAGGCCATACATGTCTTGTTTATAGCAGCCTGATGATAAGAAGCTCTCTGAAATTGTTGATTAACCTTCTTTTGGGGGGAGGAAGATTTTTTAAAAAGCTACAATCTGCTATCATCAATCTGTGACTGTAGTCACAAAGCTTTCCTCCTGGACAGGTTGTCCTTTCATCTTCCAGCACCTTTGATCCCTGTCTACTGAATGTTGTCACTTTTAATCTAACAATATTTCTGTTATTGTTAGCTGGTTCCTAGCTTTTAGGAAAGCAGAAGCTCTGGCTTAGGCTGATAGGAAGCTGATAATTGCTTCTGAGCATTAACAGCTGGCAGCTAATATATCACCCATGGCAGAGAAATTACACAGATTGACAGGGATGGAAAGAAAAATGTGGGTTTTATTTACCTTTTTTGGTGCTCCCTAAACTGTATTAAATTGCACAAAGATGTGCAAAACCTTATGTTGGTTCACTCTAATGAATCCTGCACCAAACTTTAACAATTAAAAGTTGTGTGTATTGGGGGAGGGGGTTGTGAAGCAATACTACTTACAGAATACATGTGGTATTTCCATCTTACATACATAGTAATACTTAAATAAGAGTCCTTTGGAACTGACTAACAAATATTAATCCTTTCTTTCTAGCATGAATCTAGAGAAACTTTATTGGGCTTCAACATGGTGAATTATCGAGCGTGTAAGAATTTATGGAAAGCTTGTGTAGAACATCATACTTTTTTCCGGTTGGACAGACCACTGCCACCTCAGAAGAACTTTTTTGCACATTATTTTACTTTAGGGTCAAAGTTTCGGTACTGGTAAGTTGCGTCTATATTTCACGTGATGGTAAGAATATAAAAGAAATGTTGAAAACTTACCATAAAGTTGTTGTTGAAATAGCATATGTTCTTAATTTGGTAACCCAAAGATGTGCAAAATCTTTTGGTGGCCAAATATCACAACATTTTTGGGAGTATATATTATACGCATAGATGAGGTTGGGTGCAAGAGGACGATTCAGAAGTTTTCTTTGTTTATATTTTTGTTTTTTAAACTGATTTGTGTACTTTAGTTTACCCTGGAGTATTCATATTTCTATAATATAACAGGAAACCGCTCTTTCAGTAGGCGTTACCATACACATGACCCGGAGGTTACAAAAAGGACACTTCAGGAGCATTCAGTCCTCAGTGCACAAATTAGTCACCCACACTGCACCCAAATATATTTTTGACTAATGAATTTTGTTTGAAAGCTGAGATTGCTACATAGACATCACACCCCTGAAAAGGACTAGTTTAGTCCTTTTTATTTACTTTTATTTACTTTAAGAAGTACTTTTTTATAAGTACTTCTTATTTTTCTTTACAATCTCAATATTATACTTCCCTTTCAGTGGGAGAACAGAAGTCCAGTCTGTACAATATGGCAAAGAAAGGGCAAACAAGGACAGGGTGTTTGCCAGGTAAGCTATTTAAAGTGACTTGCATTCATTATGATAAACATATAAAGCCTCTTTAGGTTTCTCCTTACTCTCAAAATTGATTGGGTATAACAATCAATAATAACCAGTGGTGGGATTCAAGTAATTTAACAACCGGTTCTCTGTCCTAATGATTTCTTCCAACAACCAGTTTGCCAAACTGCTCAGAAAGTTAACAACCGGTTCTCCCGAAGTGGTGCGAACTGGCTGAATCCCACCACTGATAATAACCCTGGATAGAAGTTCTCTTGACACATAAAATTTTAGACACATGGAAGAAGGAGCAGGACTGGGTTTGTTGCCATACTTCCCATTGAGACATGCCAGCTGATCAAGACTCCATTGGCTTTCGGCATTGATGAATAAGATCTGATGGAAATCTTGAGCTGCAAAAATTCGGAATGCCATTTATTCTTTACACATAGTGAACCTATTTTCTCTGTTTGCTCAGTTAACTCCCTCTAGAATATCTCCAACTCCTGCTACTATTCTCATTGGGCCATAGGCTTGCCAGAAACTAATATAGTTCAAAAGTGATATTGTGGAGCATTTTTTCATTGTTTACCTAGATCCGTTTGGTCTAGTGTTCAGATACCACACTAAAAACCAGGAGATTGCAAGTTCTAGTCCCACTGTAGGCATAAAAAGCTGGCTGGGTGACCTTGAACCAGTCACTCTGTCTCAGCTCAACCCATCTCACAGGGTGGTTGTTGTGGGAAAAATAGGAGGAGGAAGATATATTGAATCTATTTGCTACCTTGAGTTATTTATAAAAATAATAAAGGCTGAATTTTTAAAAAAAAATCTTTAAAAATAACACATTGCAAAAATTAGCAATATAATTTTTGAGTATTTTCCATTAATAGAAGCAATAACTGAAAATGGAATAACAAGGTCAAAAAATCCCACCTCTTCAATCACAAGAAAAATGGAATGGACTGATATGGACTTGCTTATTATGGGCCTCAGTTTTTCAAGTCCCTGGACACTAAAAGTTATACTGTACATCTTTAACTATATTATAAAGCATTCCTCTATGGCAGGGGTGAAATGCTCCCGGTTCGGACCAGATCGCCCAATCCGGTAGCGATGGCGGGTAGTTCGGAGAACCGGTAGCAAAAATCCCTGCCCCCCCCCCCCCACCACCACCACCACCATGCCCAGCTGAGCCGCACAATCATCAGAGGCTTTTTTTTTTTTTTTTACTTTTAAAAGCATTTTTTTTTACAACTTCTTCCACCGAAAAAATGCTTTTAAAAGTAAAAAAAAAAAAAAGCCTCTGATGATTGCACGGCTCAGCTAGGATCGTCAGAGCCTTTTCAAAGCATTTTTTAACCACCTTTTCCCTGGAAGAGGTTACAGAAAAAAATGCTTTAAAAGTCTCTCTGACGATCCCAGCTGTGGTTGCCTGATCGGCAGAGCCTTTTCAAAGCATTTTTTAAACCACCTCTTCTGCTGAAGAGGTTGCAGAAAAAAATGCTTTATAAATCTCTCTGACGGTCAGGCAACTCAGCTGGGATCATCAGAGAGCCTTTTCAAAGCATTTTTTTGCATTTGCAGAAAAAATGCTTTGAAAAGTTTTTTTTAAAAAAAGTTGGCCACACCCATCCAGTCACATTACCCCCCCACACCAAGCCACGCCCACAGAACCCGTAGTAACAAATTTTACATTTCACCCCTGCTCTATGGTTACCAGTAATAAAAACAGAAAAGCGACTTCAGGTGAAAGGCAATAAAAAACAAAATTATAGTCACGTTATTGAAGATTACCATAGAAGAAAGTGAGCAAAAGGAGGAAAGCAACAGAGAGAAAAAAGGAGAAAATCAGGCAGGAGGAACTGAGTGAAAGCTTTGAAACTCTCAAGAGGAAGGAAGAATCAAATGGCGAGAGGATTCTCAGGGTCAGAGAGGAGTGTTCCTAGACCTCTGATGGCATACCTATGGCACGCATGCCACAGGTGGCACACGGAGCCATATCTGTGGGCATGCGAGCATTGCCCTAGCTCAGCTCCAGCGTGCATGCCCGCGCCAGCCAGCTGTTTTTTGGGCCTTCTGGGCCCACTGGAAGTCAGGAAATGGGCCGTTTCCGGCCTCTGGAGGGCCTCTGAGGGGGTGGGGGTGGCCATTTTCGCCCTCCCCAGGCTCCAAGAAAGCCTCTAGAGCCTGGGAAGGGTGAAAAACAGGCCTACTGGGCCCACAGGTAACCTTTTTGCCGTTGTGTGCCAAAAGTGGGGGGAGCGCGGGGGTCACATGGGCATGTGCAGGTGGCATTGAATTATGGGTGTTGGCTCATGCACGACACCCCCCACCCCCACCCCCGTTCCCCACACTTTTGGCACACAACGGCAAAAAAAGGTTAGCTATCAATGTCCTAGACTATGCAGAGCAAATGAAGAGAGAAGGAACCAGAACCAGCCTAAGGCTTTCAAAAGCTAGTTGGTAATCATAATCCTTAGAAAGAACCACAATTGGGACCAGAACTTCAGTTGCTAAGTAAGGTGGTCATTAAGTGAGACACATTCAATTTTACAACTTTTTGCCGCTGTTGTTAAATGAAGCATTGCAGCCATTAAGTGAATTGTGTGGTCATTAATCGAATCCGGCTTCCCTCATTGACTTTCGTTGTCGGAAACCATCTAGAAAGGTCTCAAATGACAATCCTGTGATCTCAGGACATTGCAGCCTTATAAATACACACTAGTTGCAAAGCACCCAAAGTTTTGTCATGTGACCGCAAGAGTCATGAGTACAAGGACTGGCTAGAAGTCACTTTTGTCATTATTGTCGTAATTTCAACAGTCACTAAATGAATCAGTCAGTAAATCAAGGATTACCTATATACTACCCTAGAAATCCAAAAAAGGCTATTGTGCTAGAATACAAAGAAAGAAATATCTTTTTAAATGGATTTTCCAAAGGAAAATATGTGTTGCAGATGCCAAAGACAATCTTTATGAAAAGAAGGACTAGAAACCAGAAGAGTGCATTACTATATCTATTTTATGGAAGATCACAAAAACTATTGAGGGTTCAGGAATGTTGTCTTGATTACACTAAAGGAGAGTGGAGACTTTCTTTGTGCCCAGATCTTAACCTTTACAAAGTGAGCATTGTCATCATTGTCTTGTCAGTCATGTCGTTGTTGTCTTTGATTAGTTATTAAATGTTCTCAAGGATATAGATATTAGAAGAGGAAACTATATAAAGCTGTGGTAGTAGAAGATATACTGTTGTAATGTGGCAAATGTTTCTTTGAAATTTCCACAAAGAACAGGAAGTTTTGGTAACAGACATGAGTGGGTGGGACTGTGAGTTTCAAACATTTAATAATGCTCTAAATGTAGTTTGACAGTTCAGTGTTTTTGCCTGGCTTATCAAGTTACTGAAGTAGTTTTCTGTTCGATCATTAAGGTGAGTTTTTCAAAGAGTTGCATCATTCCTAGAAAGAAAATACATGCACATTTAATCTGCAAAAAGTCGGTAATATTTTTATCCAGGCTGCCTTATATTTTTCTTTTTCCTTATATTTTGGATGAGCAGATCAGGTTTTGTAGAAAACAGTGTTTATCCCTGTTGTCCTTAAAAGCAATTTAGAAATGGTTTAACTCATAGCAGTATGGTAGTAGTTTTATTTTTAAAAAAAACTTTTGAAACAACCTTTTCTAGAAAAGAATAACATTTGAGCTAGTAACATGGATACTAAGAATGAACATAAACGTAAATAAATATAGTTGATGTTATAATGATTGTTAGATAATTCTATGTATCACACTTCATTTAAATCAATTTCTATGAATTGTTGAAAAATGTGTAATCACTTATATTTTTCACAGCTACATTATGGCTAGATTTTAAAAACTGATTGTCATATTCAGCTATGGTCCAGCTAAGTCAGTAAAAATTCTTAAATTTTATTAAGAGCTGGAGTTTTTTTAATGTGCAAATGTGTGACAAATGTGTTTTTTGTGTTGCACGCGTTCACTGCATCTGAAGCCCTCAAATTTCAGCACTGCTTGTAACTTTGAAATAGTTCTTTTAAAAGTCTGGATTTTTGTGTCCATGCTATTAATTATAATGTAAAATTGGTTCGACTTTTCTGTTGCAAGTGGTTTAGTTTGAATGTAGCTGTAAATTATGCAAGTAATAGCAATGAAGGACTAATTTAGAGTTAAGAAAAAAAAGAAAGAAGCTGTTTCTTTCACAAACAGCTTTCCTCCACCACCACCCACCACCCACCCCCAATATGTGGCACTGTAGATGGTTCTCAGCCCTTAGCAATACAGAATTACTGTAAAATTTGCTCTGTCTTTAGCTATCCTTCTTCTCATTGCACGTGGCTTTTTTTTCCTCTTGTGAATAGTCCCATAAGAATATATGTCTCTCTTTGGAAGAAATGGTCAAATAACATGCACTGCATATCAGTGCCTATAAAGAGGAAGGGTAGTTTTATTTTATTTTTAATTTCAATTTCTAGTAATTTCAGATACATCATTCTACGTAATTTTGTGTAAATTTGTTTTAGATCCCCAAGTAAACCTTTGGCTCGCAAATTGATAAGTGGGATGGACTGGGAGGTTGTCAGCAGAAATTCATTGTCTGATGACAGGTTAGAAACTCAAAGTTTACCATCCCGTTCTCCACCTGGAACCCCTAATCAGTAAGTAAAGTTGAATAATCCATTTACAACAAGTTACCTGTTTTTCATTTGATTAATGAAAGTAAATCGTTGTAACATTCTTCCTTGGTGTGCTAAAATAATGTCATAGTGAAGCACACACATGTAACTGAGGCAGGATTTAGCTAACAGCTCAATATATTAGTTTTTTTTTTTTTTTAAAGTGCTTGCATTTCCTACTTTCATTCTGGGAAAAGAATGATAATAATTTTATTCAGTACCCTTTACTGTGAGATGTAAACAGTATGTTAAATTTAATAGAATAATATTCAGAATCATAATTAATCCAGATGTACCTGATCTTTGTCCCCTTTGAGCATTTTACAGTATAGCCATGGTTGAAAAAAGGAATCTTGATTTATTTATAGCTAATTTCAGAATATTTTTCACACATATAGTTGACAGGTTTTATTTGTGCAGAAAGTAAATATAAAGCATCATTAAGGAGGAGGATAAAATTGCCTTTAATATTATGCGTATAACACCTAATTTTAACTATATCTAAACCATTTTTGAACAAATTTTTTATGTGTTATACAGAATAGTTGTATAATATCTCTTGTATCTAGGTTTTGTTGTATTTAATAGAAAGTGCATCTAGACATAGAATTTGATTGTATTTTGCATCATTCAAGTCATATTACTTATTTGGATTAAATTAATTTAAAACCACTGTGCTTTGTCTTAAATAAATAAAGAGCCTTGGTAGTACAGGGGTTTAAGGCACCCTGTTATTAAAGCTGGTTATTAAGACCAGCTGCCTGCAATTACTGCAGGTTCGAATCTCGCCAAGGCTCAAGGTTGACTCAGCCTTCCATCCTTTCTAAGGTAGGTGAAATGAGGACCCAGTTTGTGGGGGCAATAAGCTGACTTTGTATAAATACACAAAAGGATGAAGGCTATTGCTGAGCACATTGTTGAGTCTTCGGAGAAGGCCGGCATATAAATCAAATTTAAAAAAATAAATAAATAACCTATGGTTTATCCCTTTCATTTCTTGGTTACATTGTGGCTTTCCTTAAAAATTATATCACAGCATAATTTAGCACAATGTGGCTAATCTGGGTTTATTTTAGGTTACATAGGCTTATCCCATCTAGCCTGCTGTGAGGAGCAAAAAATTGGGAACAGGAAAGTGAGATTTGTTTAAATAAACAACAGATTAAGGTAACTAGGATTTAAATATAATGGCAAACTCTGTTTGATTTAAATCAGGAAGTGGATGCTTTCACATTTTTTCAGTCATATAAGCCTATAGTTTATCCAGGGCATTTATATAACTGAACTATAGTTTTAACATCATATCTATCCATGTTTCTCTTTCCGGTTAAATGGAAGTTCCAGTAATTTAGTTACATAAATAGTGAGTCTTACAGAATCAGTGCAGAAGACCATATTTCTGAACTCAGAACTCTGCACAAATACTATTATATATCTATAAAGGTAATTTTACTTCCTGTACAAGCTAAACCACAATCAGGGAGGTCCTCTTTATTCTTTGTGTGGCTGTTTTTCAGTTTCCTCTTTTTCTAGCAAGTTACATGAAAAGGAAGGAGACCAGTTTTTTTTTTTTATTTAAATATATATCTTGCAAAAATCCTTCAGAAGGAAAATAATATTTGTATTGGAGTAATGGCTGTAATACTAGGACACCATTTAGGATTCATGTTGGTTTCTTATCTATTGATGCATGCCACACATATATCATTTATATAGATGTCAGTCAGTGTTACAGATAGCCTTCAGTACTGTGGTTACAAATGTCTTACTGATTTCTGATACCATATTTCTTACAAACATTGTTTTACTACTACTAATTGACTGCTTTTCACACCAATGGAGAGCATGTATTTAGGAGTGCAAGCAGTAGCATTTATAGAAACTGATTTGATTATTTCTTAGAAATGCTGGTAAAACTATTTAAAAGCACAGAACTTACAAATCTTTATTAATAGGTTAATGAATAACTGTTCTTTCCATGCTCAGTCGCAACTCCACATTTACTCAAGAGGGAAACCGTTTACGGCCATCTTCAGTTGGACATTTAGTAGACCGTGTAATCCATACTTCACCCAGTGAGGTATTTGCAAATCATCGGTCGCCTTCTTCTACACAGGCCAATAGTATAATTCTAGAATCATCACCGTAAGTTTGCTTTTTGTAATCCTGCAAAGACATTTTGTACTGCTATAACATACACTCTTTCCATATTTCTTCCATATAGCTATAAGGATGGCAGATCTCATTTTTATATTTAATTATACTTTGTAAGTAAAAACAAGAGTAATATAAGGGATCTAATCTCATATAGAATATAAATATATAGCATAATAATAGCAAATCTCATAAATTTATAAGATAGCTTCATATATCTAGCAACCCCCCCCCCCTCTCTCTCTCACACACACACACACACATTTGTGCAGTTGGAGATAATACTTATCTACCTTATAGTTCTATAAATATTTTTAAACAGTGTAAAATAGCACACTCAAATAGCTATATAAATATTAAATATGTGTTAAACAATTATTAGAAATGATTTCTCATTTTTCCCTTGAATAAAATGGGTCATGACTCAATATTAGTATGTTAGAATACCACAGATTTAATCTTCAAGGAAGTTGTTGGAAAAATTAGTAGAATCCATATATATTGTACTAATACATTACTTGTGCTTAAAAGATATAATAACATTGGAAGACACAGTATCAGATTTGTGTGACATAGCACTTAGCTGAATAGGAAGTTTTCATTTTTTTAATTTGATTATGCACATTGTTGAAAGAAACAATACAGAAAGCTACTTTCACTCAAACTATTCTACTTATACATCCATTGTTTTAAACATTCAAAAGAAATTAATAGCTAACTGGGCAAATAGAAAGTTAGGAAGTTTTTTTCTAGTTTATTCTTAATCCTCACACTTTATTATGGTAATATATTACAATGTATTACACTTGGAACCATAGTATTATATTAGTCCAATTTTGTGTATATGTTGTAAATTTTGTTTACTGTATCAGTTTGAAAAAGAAAGAATTTAAACACGATAATACCTTGGATATTATGTTGTAATGGAAATGTTCCATAGCAATAAAATTGGGAAGAACAGTTGCTAAGTAATGCATACTGGTTTGTAAATAAGTAGCAATATATGAAATCATTTGTACCTTGCATTTCTATATGAGAATAGTGAACTCACAAGCCTGCTAACTTAATTGAGTCTGAAAACGAGTCAGTGACAGCCTTGGTTATTTTTATTTGAATATGCTATTGTGGGAATTGTATTGAAATTGTCAGTTTTGCAGTGTGAATAAATGAATTGTCATTAAGACTTTAGATGCATGAATTTCTAGCAACTTGTGTAAACTATAGATGAATTACTGTACAGACTTGTCAAATTGCAAAATAATAGTATATTATCAGGCTAACTTTAAACATTGTCTTTTACAAGACACTTCATAAAGATTTCTACTAGTGGATTTGGATTTCAATAACAGTGGATATAGGTGTGTTTGGATAATCTGTCATACCTGTTTTATGGTGTAACTGTTCGTGCTTTTCCTTCCCCTTCCCACTCCTCCTGAGCATATCTGGAAACACTGATCTGTCATTTAATCTGAGATTGCCACAAACAGCATTAATATCCATCCCTCCTTTGGAAAATGCCAAACAGGGAACCTAGATGTTTTTCCTAATGAAAGGAAATCAGGCATTCTTTGTCATGCAAGCACATGATAAACTGGGTGTTTAAAATATCATTGGAAACCCTGTAGTAGAATATAAAGCATATATGTGGCCTAATAGAAAGTGGCAGAATTAAGCTTTTAGAACAAAATTCTTTCTCTAATATATATAGAATAATTCTATTTAAAAAAGAATCAAAAAGAATGATTTCTGTTGATCCTAATTTTAATTTTACATTTTTAATTTAAGAATATTAGTTAAAATAGTATTTTTTAAAGGGGGGGGACTTTCTACAAATAAGTGTATTATGAAGCCTCCTTCCTGTGTATATGTCTGTCGATACTTAGGCAAAAATCGTCCTTTGCAAGAGAAACGTATTACTATGTTCTAGGAAGCTTAGAAGTATAGACATACATACCTGCACATAAACTGAAAGAAAAACATAAAAGGAAAAATCTATAATTTAAGAACAACTGTACATATTAAGTGGGACTGACCAGATTTGGATACTGAAGTGAAGGGAAATAAAATAGTCTGAAACAGTATGAGCACAAAATAACATGTTATTGCAAGTTCCATTTTTTTCCTAATTTGCAATTGGAATCATGAATATAAACAATATGCAAAAAGTAGTGTTTTCACTGAAAGGCTGGTATAGATTTTGATAAATTATATGCAGAAATTACAGCTCTTGTATAAATTATATTTACCTGATTTCTTCCCACTGCATTGCCTTACGGCCTATATGAAGTCCTTCTTGGGTCTCTTGGCTTTTTCTAAGAAATTCTTCTCAAAGATATAGTGGACTACAGTGGGCAGAAGCAAATAGGAAACCTTCCCCCACCCCCCCCCCCACCGTTCAGCTTCTAATCATGTTACATTTAGATATTGTCTTTTATTCTATTGTTTATTTACGTCAATTGCTGAAGACTTGTAATGTAATTCACACACCCATATTCTGAAGTTGTTTTACAGATGCATTTTTTTAAACATGTAAATAAGTTTTCAAAATGTCTTTTTATTTTTTCATGTTATATATAGGTCTCAAGAGACCCCTATAGATGGCCAACCACCTGCACTGCCACCTAAACAATCTAAAAAGAATAGTTGGAACCAAATTCATTATTCACATTCACAGATAGAATTGGATAACCATATAAATGAAACATATGATGATGATTCTTCCTCGTCTCCTGAAAAATCTACTGTAAGGGTTTTTTTCACACTTGTTGATTGGAATATATTAATAACTATAGGGCTTATGTACATTGATTTCAATTATTGTAATTTATACATCTGTTAAATGATACTTGTATTAACATATAAGTTTGTTACATTTGCATTAGCCACATATTGGAGAGACAGTTTGATATAGTGGTTAAGGCATCAGGCTAGAAATGAGAGTTTTAGTCCTGCCTTAGGCACAAAGCTAGCTGGATGACCTTTGGCCAACAACTTTCTCTCAGCCCTAAGAAAGAGGCAATGGCAAATTACTTCTGAAAAACCTTATCAAAAAAACTGTGATTTTGTCCAGAAGGGAAAAAAAAGATATATATTTCTGGTTTTTGCACGCAATTCTTCCTGAGCAATGGGATACTGTGATAAACTATATCTGCAGGCACTTATCTTACATTCCAAATACTGAATCCCTGTTTTTGAGCATTCAGCCATGTCTGTCTATCAGGAACAGATTCTCTTTCCTCTCTATATATCTAAAGTCTGTTTCACAAAGCTGAAAGACTGAGAAGCAGAAGGGCTCAACCTATGTTTGATCTCTATGTTTGCTGGTTTGTTTTCTAATGTAGCTCAGTATGTTTAAAATCAGATTACATATTTTCTTTCTATCTTCCCTATGTAATTTTGTGCTTACATGATCATAACTCCATGAAAAACAATTGAGCTCCAGAATTATTAGAAGAAAAGAAAATAATGAGTTTAGAAATTATAGATCTTTTTAAAATTCAGCTGTGACTCTTTAATAGAAATTGGCATTAGTGTAAACAATACTTTGTTTGAGGGATCCTTGGTGCTCTCTGAGCTTGCTTGTTTTCTTACAGACATTTCATTATCCAAATTTTCATTTGCAGCCAAATGGTGGGATTCCTCATGACAATCTTGTTCTGATCAGAATAAGACCTGATGAAAATGGCAGATTTGGTTTCAATGTAAAGGTATTAAAAAAATTTTTTTATATCTTTGGCTACTTTAATACTTTGAGGGTTTTTTTTTTTCATTTTTTCATTATTTATGTTTCTCTCAAAGGGTGGATATGACCAGAAGATGCCTGTCATAGTGTCTAGGGTGGCCCCCGGAACACCTGTAAGTCTGACTAGAGAAAGTTTGCAATGATATATATGCTTAACATGCAGTACTTTGTTTAATTTTTTATTTCTTTACAACTGTTTTCATAATAGCGAATTCTGATGCATTATTTTAACACTGGAAATGGAAACTTGTTGGGATGTAAGAATTATAATTTACTTTATATATCTAATCAAAGGAGATCTTTTAAACTTCCTAATTCTTAGGGTTTTTTTTAAAGTATTTTATTGTATTATAAGATGCAAGTAATATATTGTATAATTTGGGTACAGTGGTATTTATGTAATAAAGATGGTGCTTTCTTAACTAATTGAGACTGATGATCTCGTTGCTGCCATAGTTGTTAAGCAAATCACCCACAACTGTTAAGTGAGACTGACTTGTGATTTTACTGCTGGTGTCTCCATTGTCTGCTTGTCAGAAGCCAGCTGTAAAGCATTGAAATTGCAGTCAGGTCACCATGGGATGCTGTGACAGTCCACTGGTTGTGAAGTGCCAGAATTTCGATCTTGTGACTGCAAGGATGCTGTGAGAGGCATAAGTGCAAGGACCAGTCATAGAGTTACTTTTTCAGCACCATCATAATTTTGAACAGTCACTTATCGGGGCAGTTATGAAGCAAGGACTGCTTATATTAACCAGAGATTATTACTACTGTGATGAGTTAGGAAACTTAAACCTTTAAGGATTTTTTTATATATATAAAAAAGAATTGAGTGTAGCACTAACACCTGTAAAGTGCATTAAATATAATAATTTTTTCCATTTTAAGTGTAATCCTTAATATTATGGTCTTTATTGTTACTAGAGGTTTATGCATATTAAAAAATAAAAATAAAATGGAATGTAAAAGAAGTTGCTCATAAAAGTATATTGGTATTTGATTTATAATTTCTCCCCTTCTTTTATACCTTTATCAATTTGTAATAAAAATCAAGATGGTCCCTTGTTGTTTAATAACTGCTTGAAATTACAATGGGACCAGAATAGGTGCTTTATGGCTAGAAAGCACTTCTGGATGTCCTAAATTATTATTCCACACACCCTCCCCACATTCACAAGAGCATATTTTGGGCACTTGGCATCAGCTCACTTTTAGGATCAGGTTGTAGCATCCCATGGTCACATCAAGTTTTTTCCTCTTTCTGGCAAAAAAATACCCATTCAGAAGAAGGAGTTCTCATTTACCACCATGCTGTTTGCTTAATGGCCATAGATTCACTTAAGGATGGTTCACATAATGATAGCAGTAAAAATATAAAATATAAAATCTGGTCATGTTGCTTTGATTTACTATCATAATTTAACTACTAGAAATCCAATCCCAGTTGCATTTGTAAATCAAGGACCACATTTGTAGCTATTTAGGTCCCCTCAGATACCATACTGTAAGTACCGTATTTTCCGGCGTATAAGACGACTGGGCATATAAGACGACCCCCGAATTTTCCTGTTAAAATATAGGGTTCGGGCTATACTCGCCGTATAAGACTACCCCTCTTCCAACGCACACCAAATAAAAATTAAAAAATATCAACTGGCTCACCCACAATGTAAAAGCAGCTGTGCTAGACCCAAAATGGCCCCTGCAACAAGCAGGAACCTCACACAGCCACGAAAAGCCCAAAAAAACAACTTTCACACTTTACACACACAAAATTCCACATACAGCTTTGTGAGATTTTGTGTGTTTGTGTAGTTAGAGTGAAACACTACAAAAACACACTAAATCTCAGAAAGCTTCACAAATATTATTTTATTTTATTTTATTTTTATATAAAAGCAGCTAAATTTAAAACTTCCTAAACTTTAAATGGCTAGGTCTAAAAAAGAACAACTAAAAAAAAACCCAATTAACGATTTTTTTTAAAGATCCCAAAGGGGAAAAAAAACTTACCCAATAGAACAGGGGTCTCCAACCTTGGCAGCTTTGTTTTGCTGGCTGAGGAATTCTGGGAGTTGAAGTCCACAACTCCTTGCCTGCTTGATTGTAGGCAGGGAGTTGCTTGCTGATGGAATGGATTCAGGCAAGCAAAGCAAGGCAAGCGTTGTGACTAGCAGCTAAGGTAAGCAAGCTGGAGGGGGAAAACTTTTTTCCTTTTACATGGCTCTGGCGATCCCAGCTGAGTTGCCTGATTAGCAGATCGTCAGAGCTTGGATCGCCAGAGCCATGTGAAGGAAAAAAGTTTTTGCCTTTTACATGGGTCTGGTGATCCCAGCTGAGTTGCCTGATTAGCAGATCGTCAGAGCTTGGATCGCCAGAGCCATTTAAGGCTCGTCAGAGCCTTTCGGGCTGGTCTGCCTGGTTACAGGAGAATGACACCCGGCGTATAAGACGACCCCTGACTTTTGAGAAGATTTTCATGTGTTAAAAAGTCGTTTTATATGCCAGAAAATACGGTATTTATATTCACCTTGCTCCAATTTCCCAGCTCTATAAGGTCCTATGTAATGTTTAATCAATGTGTTGGAAACACAGTGAGTAAAGTGAACATTGTCATAACATTAAGAATGGTATGGAAAGTGTAGAGAAAATGTTTTCTCTCTCTCTAATACAATATTTAGGTATATTCCAATAAAACTGAATTCCGGGAACTTTGAACTGATAAAGAAAAATAAGCACTTCTCATGTTTTTAGATGTGATGATGCTCACTTATTTAGATTTTTTTAAAATGACATTACATAAATTGATGGAAGTCAGGATAGTCAGGGACTGCTAATCTTAACATTTGCCTTAAATATCAGGGGCAGGGATAGATAAAGGATTATCTTTACTGTAGTTCATTTAAAATCCCTATTGTATTAAATATATTATTCTGTGCTTTGCTAATGAACAGTCAAAATTTCTGTTTGTGATATGTGAATAATATGTTAAATGATTACATCAGGAAATTCTGAAAAGTTACTGTCAAATTTTCTCTTATTTATTGTTTTATTGTTAAATGTATTTGCCACCTATCTTGTCGTCGGGCTACTCTAAGTGGTTTACTATAATAAAAAGAAAGAAAATGAAAGTGTAAACAGAACAGAAATAAAATAATAGAACCATAAAATAAACAATGAAAAAGCAATCCAACTAGAATTCATCAATATGATAACCAAAAAGATAGGTGGGTGGGGAAGCAGGTAGCGAGTGGGTAAGTGGATTTACTATCAATCCAATAGCTATCACCTCCAGTGTGGTACTCCTCCTTTGGGTCCCCAGGTCAACCAGCAGAGCCAGGTTTTCAGGCTCTTGTGGAAGGATAGAAAGGTGAGGGCAGATCTTACTTTACAGGGTAGGATGTTCCAAAGTGTGGGCTCTACGGCAGAGAAGGCTCTTCTGGATCCCAATAGTTGGAGTTCTTTGATCAATAGGATCCAAAGTAGGCCCTCTCTGCTGGCATGAGTAGGGTGGGCTTGTTATAACGGGACAAGGCAGTTCATCAGGTAGCCTGGACTTATCTTTTTATCCATCTCATCTATCTAGCTTTCCTTATTCCAGTGTCCAATTTTATTCTTAAACAGAAAAAAATATTTTAGAATTTATTAGGATAATCTAAAGAAGTGTCAGAAACTTTTTTCTGAAAAGGCAGTATATAAATATAAAAAGTTAATAATGAACAGGTAAGCAATATTTTTGTGTCTGTTATTTTAATATGACATAAACTGGATTATTTAATGGTTGAATTTAGATGTGTAACTCTGAAGTACATAACTTAATATTATGATACTGAGTGTACTCTTCTGATTTTCCTCTTCAAACACAGACATGAGGGAAATATTAAAAACCTGTTATTGAATAAGTGTAGTTCAATCTGTTTTTGATAAATTATGGTTAGTGAAGACAAGTCCATTTCATAAAGTATTATTTGATGCTTTTACTTTTCACATGCTGCTACAAATCTGCAATTGATTAAAAAAAAAAGTGAAAGCTACCAAAATTTTTCCCACAATTACTCCAGTGGGAAAACTATATTAATCAAGTATGGACATTTATACACTGGACTGTGATTTAGCATTATATCTAATGTTTCAGTATCTCCATTTTGTGTTTTTCAGCAATTAATTTAAAAAGAAAAGGCACTTCTCATATCCACTAGAATAAAACTTTGTTTCATGTTGCAGGCTGATGTTTGTGTCCCTCGTTTGAATGAAGGAGACCAAGTTGTATTGATTAATGGCAGGGATATATCAGAACACACCCACGATCAAGTTGTTATGTTTATTAAAGCTAGCTGTGAGCGGCACTCAGGGGAACTTGTACTCCTAGTTCGACCCAATGGTGAGTAATTTTACCTGTACAAAACACGCCTCTTTTTTCCCTGTTGTACTTTGCTTATAGCAATAGCAATACCAATAGCACTTAGACTTATATACCGCTTTATAGTGCTTTACAGCCGTCTCTTTTATTAGAACATTTGTGAGATTTATAGTGCTACTGTCCTTACAGTATATACCCATAGTTTTAATGTAATTTAAATTATCAGCTGGGTTTCTGTATAAAAAAGAAAAATAGCCAAGTCAGTGTTTGCCCTCTGATGGGGGTACAGAATGTTTAAATAGTTATGTGAACATTATATAATTGTCCTAATCTGCTAGTTCAAATGTTGAGACTGTTGAACATTCTAGATATGACAAATTAAATCAATGTACACAATATAAGAAGGAATTTACTTTCATTTTTATGCTTTATTAGGGAGGCGTAGCAGCTCAATGGTTAAGATGCTAGGCTTGTCGGCTAGAAAGCCGGCAGCCAGGTTCGAGACCCAAGTGCCACATAATGGGATGAGCTCCTGTCCTTGCCCCACCTGCTGCCAATCTAGCAGTTTTAAAGCATGCAAATGCAAGTAGATAAATAGGTACCACTTCATATTCAAATGTAGATAAATAGGTACCACTTCATTGAGAAGGTAACAGTGTCCATGATGTCGTGGTAGCTACATGACCATGGAAATTTATTCGGACACTCAATGGCTCTGAGACAGAGATGAGCACACGCACACATCCTATAGTCAGCAACAACTAGGGGAGTAAAATCCACATGGACTCCTTATTTTCTGCCTTATTACTTTGGAATAATTGTTTAGTTTGAAAACACCACTTAGAATTTTTAATAGTGCTATATACTGCACATATTTTTAATTTTTTTTATTATAATAGTAAAATCATATACAAACTAAACTTAAAGAGAGTACAGAGAAACTAAGAAGTGCAAGATAAAGGAAAGAAAAAGAGAATAAAGAGAAAAGTAAGAATATAATTGAAAGAAAAGAGATATATAAAGAAATTATTTTGAATCTTTATCACAAGAAGTGTAAACGAATTTAGTAATTTCACCCTCTCTAAAGTTACAAAGATCTCTTCATCCCATATCTGTTATCTATAAACAAGATTTTCTTTTAGCTATCTTCTGTTAATTTGTTTAAAGAACCAACTGCATCCATAGTTATCATCATAGTTTGCTACTTTGTATTCCTTGAATTGATACATGAATAAGTTTTCTTTCTTCCCCAACCTAAAGCTATCCTGGAGAATTTTACATCTGTAGAGATAGATGTACAGATGTACAGCTTATTCATTAATAATAATATGCATATATCTAATGTATCTTTTCATAAGTTATTTTTTCCCCTAAAAAGTTCAGAAATATTTGTCTTTCCACCAAAGAAGTTTCACTTCCCTGGAACATTTTGCTACAATTTTTTATTCTATTCTGGTGATATTAACTGAACTGAGTGGCTAGAAATTATAAATATTTTGAATGCACCAAACCATAGATTTGTTTCTAATAGTTATTTCTATTATTTTATTCAAATTTTATTATCATTTGAGAACTGCCTTTCTTGTCTTATTTCCTGCTTCTGATCTTTTCATAATTGTTCTTTTATTATTTGTACCAATATATTTTTGCTCATCTTATTGTTTTTAATGAAAGTTACAGAGTTTTGTGTTTTCATCATTTTGGCAAAATTTCCACTTTTAAAAAAGAAAGCTTCCTTTACTTTTTATAGCTGCTTTAGCTCCGGGCAGTTAGTGTTCCAAAATTAAGAATGATGTCTTACATTCATTTCTTTGGAAGCAAGCCTCATTGAACCTAATGTGACTTACAGTCTAAACTGCTAGATTTTACATTTAAGTATCTCATTTTTAACTTTTTCTCTAAGCCAGATGAATATAACATTTTCTTAATGAGCTTCTGTGTAACCCATTGTGGCATCTTGTTGGCTGAGTATGAGATACTTAATTCTGGTTTATTGCTCAGTGACAGTATAGGAACATTTAGTAGAAAAATATAACCAGAAATACAACGAGCTAAGCAGGTTGAAATTGCTGCACTAGGTCATCAAGCAAGAGAGTATAATTTTAATACATTATTTGTGTATGTTTTGAATTCAGTTTTCTATATCGTGACCATTAGAAAGAAACTTGATTATGTATTCTATTTTAACTTGCCAAACTGTGCTAAAAGCAGCATTAGTTTAAATGAAAGAATTTCAAATTAAAAAGCAAAAAACCATAATTTCCTCCTCCACATTTTTTTTTCAGTTTTGTTTTTGTTCTAACCAGTACTAATAAAGTATGCTTGTTTTCCACAAATACTGTCTGGCACATAAGTGTCAAACGCATGCTGTTTCAGATAGGAAACATATGGAGCATAATTGTAAAATGATACCATGATTGTTTCCAAGCAGTACAATTTGACTCCTTGTCTTAATAATTTCTCTTCTTTTTGTTTATTATAGCTGTTTACGAAGTAGTAGAAGAAAAGCTAGAAAGTGAGCCAGATTTCCAGTACATACCTGACAAGTCCCCACTTGATGGAATTCACCAGGATGACAATGCTCTGAGAGAATCAATGTTTCAACTAGCGGAAGGGCTTATCACTGGAACAGTCCTGGCTCAGTTTGATGTAAGTAATGTATTTCTAGAGTTTGTTTGTCTGTGCACCTTCTAGTTGAGAATTTTGGATTTTTAAAAAGCCACAGGTTCAATTTAGGTTAAAGAATACCTGGCAAACAATTTGCATTGCTTCATTGAAATTATTTTCTTAGAATTTTTTTTTAATTTTTAGGATAGCATAATTATCCAATTAATCTAAGTCCTCGCATTGAAGGAAAACTTTTTAATAAATGGACACTTCTCTGAACATTCCCTAGCTAGTATTTTATACATTACCAATTGAATAAAATAAGAATATTACTATTCAGTGAGTACAGAGTTACTACAAAGCTATATCTGTATACATTACAAAGCATATTGAAATGTAGATCTGCAAATGTAGATCACCTTGGTCTAATGTAAACTGTATGCTTTAAGGCAGAGGCGGATAGTTTATTTTTGCAGGACTGGGCTTTCAGTTTTATTCATTTGTTTGTTCTTTAATATCTGACATTGTGAAAAGGCCACATCTGTTCAGATGAATGGGAGGGAACAGAGAGAAATGCTACAATAGTGGCCTATCTTGTGTGGGAAGACCTCACAGTGTTTCATGCTATTATCACCATCCATCTGGACTTTTGTAACATATTGTACTTGGAGCTGTCTTTAAAAAAACATTCAGAAGGTGCAAATAGTCCAGAACATAGCAGCCTATGAATTCACTAACATAAGACTGTGCTGTGGACCAATAAACTTTTGAGTGAAACTTAAAACGTTAGTTTTAATTTATAGAGCCTTTTAAGGCTTAGCATCAGGTTATGTTTAGGACCAACTAGAATCAGCCCAAACTAATGATTATTTCAGAAGAAGTAGCTGGTGGGTCCCCACTCTCAGGAAGTGAAAGAGACAGAGATCAGGAGGTGTTGCTTCTCAGTGACAATAATGACGTTTTGAAAGGTCTCCTGGCTAAAATTAGGTTGGCCTCATTCCTAATTGCCATCCACAAACAATTTAAAACAGGTATTCCTATAGCTTTCAGGAACTGATGCCATTTTTTATTTTTGTATTTTTAAAAATCTAACCATTGGTGTTTTTATTACATACAATTAAGGGTCTTTAACTTGCAGTGCAATTTAAATGCGATAGATAGATAGATAGATTCTACTTTATAATATATAGGCAAGCAGGAACATATTGTGAATTTATATGTTACGTGCACATGCTATCTCATTACTAATATTCTGTTTTTGTTATCTAATCATTTGTTGCTATTTAGCAACTTTATAGGAAGAAGCCTGGGATGACAATGTCTTGTGCCAAATTACCTCAAAATATTTCCAAAAATAGATACAGAGACATTTCGCCTTGTAAGTACTTTTTTATTTGTAAGTAAACATATTACCTTTAGTTGTCATTTGGAAAATTAAATGTTTATCTTTATTTCAGATGATGCTACACGGGTCATTTTAAACAGTAATGATGATTACATCAATGCAAATTATATAAATGTGAGTTGACATTTATATTTTTTTCTTTATTTTCTATTTCCAAGGTAAAATAGCTCAACAGTTTAGATGTAAAAACTGTAGAAATAGTCATTTGATTTACTTCAATAAGTTACACAGTGGTCAAAGTTCCTGCATTCACTATAGATGCAGAAACTCTTGCACATATTTTAGTATATTTTCTAGCCTTCTCTTGAAATGAAGTTTGATCTAATTAAGAGCATGCAAAGTTTTGACATTTCTAAATGTTTTTTGCAAATGTCTTTATTTTTAGATGGAAATTCCTTCTTCTAGTATAATCAATAAATACATTGCCTGTCAAGGTCCTTTGCCCAACACTTGCCCAGATTTTTGGCAGATGACCTGGGAACAAAGCTCCTCGATGGTTGTTATGTTAACCACTCAAGTGGAAAGGGGCAGAGTAAGTCCTCAATTGTAACTTTTACAACTAATAGATGCCAAGAGGCTGGCTTTTATTTGGAAATTTGTTCTTTCTAAACTGTGTCAATATTTGAGATTTAACTATTACTTGATTAAATATTGGTGTTGATCATTTTTAATAATTTTCTCAAATTGAATAAGGTAAAATTATGCAACAAAGATCACATTTTATAATAGTGCTGTGATGGTATGCCATAGCTCTACATTAAAATGGGGGGGGGGGAATGAGATGTTACCTTGCCTTGATCCCATGTTAAGATAAATTGCTGTAGCATACTGTTTAGAACTATGTACTGTTCACTCTTTAGAAACATTCACTGGTAGGAAAAGTGGACTCATGCCATACATTTCCAGGAATGTTGTCAAAATAAATTATAAATTGAGTAATTAGTATTGTGATGGAGTGCCAGTTTGGTGTAATGATGAAGGCACCAGGCTGGAAACCAGGAGGTTGTGAGTTCTAGTTACACCTTAGGCATGGAAGCAGTCTGAATTACTTTGGAGCAGTCACACTTAGCCCATGAGTCGCTCAGGCTTGGGTGACAAGCCAGTCGGTCAATTCCTGTTGCGATCAATACTTGGTTGACACCCCCCATCCTCCACTAGTTTCTAAAAGTGACTTTCATCATCAACATCAATTCCAGGCTCAATTATGTTCTATGTTGAAGACTACTTGTGTTTAGAAACCTTTTTAGTAGCAGTAGCAATAATAATAATAATGACAAAATCATCAGTTAGTTGCAAAAAGCAGCTTTACTTCGAACTGCTTACATCCTGATACCTTTAACCTCAACAAACAATATAATCTGCCTATCTCAGGTCTCTGGGAAGGATTCAAGAGGTGAATAATAATACCAAATCCAGTCTGAATGTAGTGTCACAAACCACAATAACAATAATAATAATCTGTTGACTTTAGGTAAAATGTCATCAATACTGGCCAGAGCCTGGCGGAAGCTCTTTATATGGGAATTTCCAAGTCACCTGTCATTCAGAAGAAGGAAATCCTGCCTATGTCTTCAGAGAGATGACATTATTTAACTTGGAGGTGAGACATTCAGTATAATTGATCCAATTTTGTGAAATCCATTAATTGAATGCAACTGATTGTTGAAGTTAAAGACATCTTGGTTTAACTTGCAAAGTCAAATTCTGAGGGGGGTAGTATGATGTAGTGGTTAAGGTGTTGGACTAGGAGGGAGGAAATTTAGGTTCTTGATCTTTAATCACAGACGTTCATTGAATACTTGGGCCTTTCACTCACTTCAAGGGAAAATAGAAGGGAACATTTTCTTACAAGATATTTTACAAATATAATTACACTTACAAGAGCTGGTCATGTTCAATGTAAAACCAACATTTTCTGTGGCTTTGAGGTGAAAGAAAAAGATAAGTGCTGCACTGATCTCTTATCAGAGACTGAAGAAAGCTGAAATGTTGATAACTCTAGAAACACTGAAGTGCTCCAGAACTAGATTATCTCTTTTCCCATAGGCTGAGTGAGTTTTTAATTGATTTTGTTATTCATGTGTAAATGTTGGTATGCAATCCCTATGAATACCAAGCCCTACTTTTTCAGTTTTATCTCTAAAGGGAACTTTATAAATTCTTATCTAAATCAACTCAACCGTATAATTGGTTTTACAATTCTATAATTTACAATCATTACAATCTCTGCCTTATCTTCTCTATGATTTTGCATTTCATGTCATGTCATGTCATATCATGTCATGTCATATGCCACATGACACTAATAACTCAAAAGACTGGTGCAGAATTTACTTCAAAGTTATGTATGTGTTAGGAGAATATTGAATGCTGATTTATTTCAGAGAAAATATTGTGTCTCGATAGAAAAATGAGGATCGTCCACTCACTCAGATCCAGTATGTAGCATGGCCTGATCATGGAGTTCCTGATGATTCCAGTGATTTCTTAGATTTTGTATGTCTTGTCCGGAAAAGAAGGGCTGGGAAAGAAGAACCTGTTATTGTCCATTGCAGGTATTCAGTCATTATGGAAATTCCTGTGCCATCTTTTCCAATGCTGTTAACTGATAATATTATTTCATTGTGCAATGTTCTGACTAATGATGTGGGACGCACAAAAGTTAGGATGACATTGAGATAAGCAATTAATTAATATAAGGTAATAATCAATATGTTTCTTGGCTACTTTTGAGTATCCTGTGTTGCAGTGGATACAGATAGCCCTCAACCTTTGACCACAATTGGGACCAGAATTTATGTCACTGAGCAATGTGGTCATAAAATGAGATATTATGTGACCCTATTATTTACGGATGGAAATTTGCTATTCCTTGTTAGCACTGTTAACCAAGAATCCTGGATCATTAAGCAAGTGCCCATCCCAATCCAAGTCATACTAGGCATGGTCCCTCCCAGCCCTGAACCTCAGTAAGGCAGGGGACTGTCTCCAAAGAGCCTTGGTAGTACAGGAGTTTAAGGCACCCTGTTATTAAGCTGGTTATTAAGACCAGCTGCCTGCAATTACTGCAGGGTTTGAATCTCGCCAAGGCTCAAGGTTGACTCAGCCTTCCATCCTTTCTAAGGTAGGTGAAATGAGGACCCAGTTTGTGGGGGCAATAAGCTGACTTTGTATAAATATACAAAAGGATGAAGGCTATTGCTTAGCGCATTGTAAGCCGCCCTGAGTCTTCAGAGAAGGGCGGCATATAAATCAAATTTTTTTTTTTAAAAAAAAATTCCCCCTATCTGCCTATCTCCCGTCTTTGCCCTTTTAGCTGCCCTGCAGCCTGCCTGCATTATATCACAAGCAACTCCAGAGTGATGATGTGCCAAAATGCCATCTCAGCTACACCTGCAGAGTAAAATTTCCAGGAATTGAAAGGTTGCAACCAAAGTGAGCCCAAGTAAGGTGTGCCACTCTGCTCATCCCTATTTCTCATCGGACCTCTTTCCAGCCTTTGTTGGGTTTTCCAGAATAAAATCCGCAACAAAATACCGCCATCCCCTATCCTATTGTTAGTCTAAGTCTGCAGGCAATTGCTCTCCCCCATCTTAAAAAATATCTCCCACTAAAAGAAGACTTTAAGAAATGAGGCAAACCAAACAGGAGCTCAAGTTCCATCTCCCTCTTTCTCCCCTCTCCCCCACCTCCAACTGGGAAGAAAGACCTTGAAGAGGGTTTAGTTTCCTTGGAGGAAAAAAAAAAAAAAAAAAAACACCACCAAAAAAACCCCACCCTCAAAATGGAAATTTTGCACAGCAGGGTGGTGCAAATAAGAACGCCAACCAATAGGAAAGACTGGAAGAGGTTTCATCTATTGGGAAAGCCAAGGGGTGTGTGTGCACAAGGAGCCATATGCAGGAATGCTACTATGGTTGATTATTTTAGCTGCTATGAAATTATGTCATTATTAAAATAAATAATGGAACCCTCAGCACAATTGTACTTTTAAAAAAAATGTTTCGTTTTCAGAGTTACAAGGTAAATTTCCCAAAATAATCTACTTAAAGGTGTGCCAAATTATTTTCAGTAGTGATTTATTTCCCAAAAGTGCTTTTTCAAGAGGCAACTGGACTTCCTTGTTTTTCTTTGGAAAAGCACCTTTGGGACAACTATGACCTGGATGACTAAGACTCTCCATAGACAGTAGTATTTATGTAAATTATAGAAATATTTTAAAGATTTTAAAAATATTAAATTTGAAAATAATCACCTTTCTCTCCTTTGCAGTGCAGGGATTGGACGAACTGGAGTTCTTATTACTATGGAAACAGCAATGTGTCTTATTGAATGTAATCAACCTGTTTATCCCTTGGATATTGTAAGAACAATGAGAGATCAAAGGGCAATGATGATCCAAACACCTGTAAGTTGCTAAACAGAATAAACTATTTCCAATAACATACTAGGAACCATAATTTCTTGTTTGAAGGGAATGATATAGTGCAGTATACAGGTAGTCCTCAACTTTCAACCAGAACAGTGACTAAAAAATTTGTTGTTGAGCATTGCTGTTGTTAAGTGAAGCATCGCATGATCGCACCTGATTTTGCAATGTTTTTCTTAAGTAAATCACAATAGTTGTTAAAATAGTTGGGGAAAAAATCACAAAATACAAAGATTTGCAAAAAGATGATAGCGAAAAAAGCAAAAATAGTGCCAATAATAATAGATGCTTTGGACGCAACCCCAAAACAACTGGAGCACCACCTGAACACCATTGTTATTGAAAATTGCAGAACACAGCTTTACTTGGAACAACCTACATGCTGTGACAATACCCTTAACAATGTCTGCTTATCCCAGATCCTTGAGAAGGTCTTGATAGATAGATAAAAGTGTCAAATGCAGTCTAAACATCTGGCTGATTGTGCAACTCTCCATAATACCAAAATCTTACTGGTATAAGTTATGGATAGTTGTTTTATACTGCATTCTAGAACAGTTGAGTTTTATATACAGAGTTAACTCTTCCAGAAAAGACCATCTGAAATAATTATTTTAAATCATGTGAAAATCAGTTGCACAATCAATTGATTGTGCAACTTGTATTTAAATTGTGACTTGTATTTAAATAGTCCAAAAGCTTTTCCTAATTATGCAATCCCATATGGTAAAAAGATACTGTCTTAAGACAGCAGATGCAAGTGAAAAAAAATCTTTTTACCCAAGATAATCCATTTGAATTTTTGCCAGTTCTCCCTCTTGCTGCAGCTTCTTTGCTTCATACCACATTCTTCTAACAGTTGAGTAGATTTTAAGAGACATATGAAGGCAGAAAAGCCCAGCTGCAAACATGTTGCTTTCATTTGTATCGACTCCCACCATGGGTATGCAACTCTGTTTTGCATACATATTAAGCAAGACTTCACATTTAAAGACATGCCAGATTCTTATATTCTGGTGAATTTAATCTTTTAAAAACTATGTATCTCACATTGCATCTTACTATAATCTCCTAAAAGCAAAAATGTTTGCTAATGGACAACATAATTTTCTGCACACAATTGAAAAATATATGTTAGTCCTATTTGGCTGCTTGTATTACTCACAGTTTTCTTATGGTGTGTGTTCCTTTATGTTTATAGTATTTGGCTCATGATAACATGTCATCACAGAAGTATAGGCTTTAATTCAAAGAGTTTACTAGATACTATTGACTAACTATGTAGTTTTAATAGGAAAAGACACACAACAAATACAAAATCAGTAACTCTATACCATTTATATTTTGTAAGTTCTTTTTCTCAAAACAGTTATCAGTCATGTGTTACAGTTATTAAAAGAATGGTACACTTAATTATATAGTGTCTTCTTTAAAATCTTCTCTGTTTACCTAGCCTTGGTTTTTGCCAAGAATGTTATTTGGGCACTTCAGATATTTTTCTTCTATTCTATAACACACTTTTGTACATTCAGTAAAATAAATCTGTGGGTGAAAATATTCTTGCTAACATATTTTTCTGGATCAAGGTGTACACTTGTTTCAAATAAAGCCATTAACCATACTTCACTGTATTTAAAGTCTGTGAGAGGAAGAACTGTGCATTAAAACTTAAAAGTGAATTTAAATATTTATGAATAAGTTAGTACTGTTGTTTCAGTTATATGGTATTAGTAAAATTAGAATCAGAATTAAGTTTACTTTCCTTTGCAAATGTGCACATTTCCACATAATATCCACAAGATGGCATTATCTTATTTTTCATTGTTATTTTAAAACCAGTACAGTATTTGAATCAGATTTCTAGATCCACTCAGTGCCATTAAAGATCACATATTTTACTTGATTTACTTGTTTGTTTAATTTGTTTATTTAATGGAGTTATTTGCTGCCCATCTGATAAAGAAATGACTTTAGACATACCGGTAGGATATCAATAATTAACATATGCAAATTAAAATCTGAAAAGTTAGGTCTTGGAATAAAGTGTTGCAATGTAAATGACCTTTGAAATAGATGGCAAAAAGAAACAAGAAGTGCTTTTTACACTAATGTTAAAGGAAAACTAGTATAGTTCATTAGCAACACCTAGCTAATGAAATCATGATGAGCTAATGCTTTATGCTGGCATAAAGTTGATTTTTGTGCACAGAAGAAAATTATATTCTAGCAAATATCAGAAAATACAGTACAAACACCCTGAACGTTGTTTGTAATTAGCCTATTTTTTTAATTTGGAAAGTAGTTTGTAGAGCAAATAGCAGAATAAGTAGAGTTTTTATATATTAAAGAAACTAGAGTTCTTAATTCTATTAATCAAGAGTAATTAATAAGGTATTAAGCATAAAGTATACAAAGAATATCATTCAGAGTTGGAAGAATTCAGATTTGCTACTTAAAAGTTAGGAGTATGGGATTTAGATTCTGAATACTACATTTCTCATTGGTGTTAAGAGTTTTAAATATTTAAATATTTTGAAAGTTTAGCATGGTATTTTGAAAGTTTATTGTTAATCTTTAAAATATTTCATTCTGCCATACAAATAATTGCACTTTTTTTTTCCAGAGTCAATACAGATTCGTTTGTGAGGCTATTTTGAAAGTGTACAAAGAAGAACTTGTTAGACCTTTAAAGACATCACCGAATAAATAGGAAGCAAAAGATAACTTTCAGAGAAGCTTCTACATAAGACACAAACTGTACTTGTGCTATAATGTTTCTTGAAAGAAATGATGTCTGAAAATAATGAAGAACTGAAAAGGACTTCAGCACTATTGCACTTTAAGTTAAAACTGAAAATCAGTCTCTAAAACACTATGATTTCTCTGTGTTGAAAGACTCCATTCATGCTTTGCTTCAAACAAGCCACAGAATTAATGAGCTCCATGAGTTCTGGATAATTTTCCAGACTTGGTTGCAGTGCCATATAGCCCTTTTGTTCGAAATGCTACAAAAAAAGAAAAAGGAAAAAAAAAAGCTTGGAATACTTTCATTCTTTATTTGACACCTGTTTCTAAAGCAACAACAATACATGCAAAGCTATTTCTTCCAATGCTAAAGTTGTCATGTTATTTGCTACCTTTTATTTTGGTGAAATATTAGCAATATTCCTTTTATTAGATACACTGCCTACTGAAACAGCACATTTCTCCCTGTGCCCTTCTAGAATCTAACCTGATTACTAACGGAAGGCTGCAGTATGATCTAACCCAATAACAGCTGCATAATGGCCCACTGAACCAGCATTTTGTTTAGTTGGTATATGAACATTCTTTGTACTGCTAGTTCTATTCCTGTTTGTCAGCAGATTATAGCACCAGTGTGTTCTGAAACATAGATGGCGTTACCTATGGAAATGAATGTGTATTTTGTCTTAACCCCCTAAGTGCCTTGAGACTTACAGTGTATGTCTTAATGGCAAGGGATTTGTGGCCCTCAAGGGGAAGCTATCATCATAATTAGATTCATTTTAAAATATGATCCTTGGTGCTTAGAATAGGGTACAGTAAGGGGTCACAAAAATACTGTTCCTAAATACTGTTCCTTTTCTCTCTATAAGTACCTATGGGTACATTTTACTGTGGGTAGCAAAAGCACTCTAGCCTATTAAGTATATAACCTTCGTTTACTGCTATGAATTGAAATGGAAATTCTGACACATTCCTTTCAACTGGTAAACTGCTAGCAATTTATAATTGAAAGCCAATATATTGATTTAGAATTTGTTCTTCTGTTTTTCCCTCTCATTGAAAAGTAGTAATTTGACTAGGATATAACATTTTAATTGTATTGATCTTCTGCTTGAAATGTGAAGATCCAAGGTGAGATTTCCCTATCATAGTTATTTTTCTCCAAGTTCATGTTTGTTGTTTCTCAAGTCATGTTTATGTTTTTTAAAGAAAAATGTGTCATTAAAGTTTTATCATTGTCCCCTAGAGCTTTCTGATAAGCTCTTTGGGTCTTTCTATGATACTTCATTCAGGAATTGGCATATACCATTGGAATTAGCAGAATCTGAACAGATTGCATATAGGTTTGTTTTTTGTTTCATTCAGAAATGTTTCTAGGGCAGTTAAAACCCACTAGGCAATGAATAATCCTTCCTTAGTTAAGTTGACAATTTAATTCTTTATGAATTTAAATCTGTCTGTCTAGTTAAATATCTTGATTTGCTGCCAGGTTTTTTAAAATGTGAGATATTGAGAATATGGAATGAAACTACGAAGTTTTTAAAATGCATTTGTGTGTATGTGTATGTGTGCATGTATAGAAAGAGTGAATGAGCATGTATGTGTATATGTATAGATATGCACATACACACACACACTTATATTGTAGTGGGAGAAACTTACAGATATGTCAATAGATGAGGAGGCACTTTCTCCAAATCCCCTTTTCCTGCTGTCAGTTGTACTTTCTTAGAACTTGTAGAGGGCTGGAAATAGAGTTATCTATTTCTCATAACTGCTTCCACAGAGGGATCCCTCACCTTAGATTAAGAGTCTTCCATAGACAGGAGAAACTTCTGTATGTAACATGATGCCTCGATCTAACTATGATGCATTGAGGAAATTCCCACTCAGTTTAAATGCTATTATATAACCCTATGCCATGATGTGAAATGAAGGAGTTAACAAAATCTTTTAGATTTGTTTTAAACAGGCTTGTAAGCTAAGCAGTATTGTTTCTTCACAAACCAAATCTAGCATATTTCTTTAATAGTTCTTTATTGCCTCCACAAACGCATATACACGTACACACCAGTGCTACCATCAAGGAATTGATCAGCTATTCTTTTTTTACCCATCTTGTGGTTCAAGTGAGATTGAATCTGAGTTTCAAAAACTTCCACATTCTTAAAAGAATTTTTTCCAATCTGTAGAAATGTAGTTGTGTTTTCACAAACTGAAGCAAATGCGAAATGCACTTCAATTTCTTACAGCAGTGAAAGTGAAGGAAGTGATGGAATCAAGGTTATTCTAGATAAAATAACTGAAAGATCCATGGGCTTTTGATGGGCTGTTACTATTCTGTAGAAATAAGAGATTGGAGAGGGGAATTTCATATGATAAAGTGCAATGTGGGAACAGGTGTCGAAGTCTGCAATCATCTAAACTTGCCTTACACGTTGGTGTAAGCAATGTAAACCTTTTAATGGAATGTCTGCAGTGGTCGTTCTTACTACTGCTAGTTTTTGGTAAATGCAAATAATAAACGTACATCTACTCGTGTTTGCTTAAAAAGAAGCTTTGTAACTGGAAAGTGGGCGTTGATTTAGATACTATTTTTAATTGTTATACCATTGTGCTGGTTATCTGCAAGGTTGGTTTGCATTTGGAACAAGTTAAAAATATATTAAATTATTATACTTATTATACCATTAATTAAGCCACTTAATGATCTTACTATTGATCTTACTAGTACTATTTTAATATATACTATTATATATTAAAAATTAATTGTCTCTCTGTAAGATTGTTGAAGGGAAAAACCTAGAATGGCTCAGCAATGTGTATTGTTAATATTGTACATACACTCATATTTGTATGTGAGGTTGCCAAAGTAATTTAAATCTATGAGAAACATTGCTACAACAAGATACAGCATTGTTGTAGCAAAGTTTTGGTATTTGGTATATTTATGCAACATAGAGACAGTAATTTTAACTACCTTAATGTCTTCCCTCCAAGCTGATTTAGAAGTTACTAAACCATGCCAACAAATACATTTTGAAATTATATTTCCTTGGTAGGGTCACAAATTAAAGGAATTTAAATGCCTAAATTAGATAAATGGAATAATAAAAGTATCCTTATGTCTTTGAAATGAATATTCAAATTGCATCTGCCCACTATATTAATATTTTACTAATATTTTATATGACCTAAAAGTTAATACTGCTAATTGCTTTGCATTGGGTTATGAGGATCTGCATCAAGCTGAAATGAAAAATATTTTTGTATGTGTTTCATTCTGTATAAAACATGAAAATGTGTTTCAGGCATAATGTCATATAAAATGATAAGTGTTATGGATGTCAGATTTTATGGAGAAATATTTTCTTACTATTTGCTAAAAACTGGGGAGAAAAATTGTAACATTTCCTGTTTTCTAATTCAAATTGCTTTCCTTGTAAATAAGAGTAATAGGGTAATAGTTTTGTGCCAATGTATTTTTTTTTTAATGTTGAAAATTATAACTATTTAAGGTACTTTTGAAGATTTGTTTCATGCAGAAATCTAGGACTCTAAGACTTGTTAAAATGGTTTTTGTTTTGTTTTGCTATTTAAGTTGTGTGGCTTTGGGATGATAGGGTTATACCAAGTTAAATATAAAGTATCCATAGTCATTTTCTGAGGAATGCAACTGGCTAATTGCACCACTTTGAGAAATCCCTCCAAATCTGAGTGGAATATGCATCTCTAGTAACAGAGCCATTCACCATTTGCTTATAGCTGAATATTGTGGGCATAGAAGCAGATCTCCTCAGATGCATTAAAATAGCCATGTCCCTGTATTTTTATTATTAATAGTAGTATGCGAAGAAAATTATTCTTGGTATAGTTGATGGAAACATTTGGACAAGTAACTTTAGGATAAAAATTGGACTGTTAAATTACAGCATTACCCGCCGTGATAGAAACAATAAAGTCCGCCATGTACTCTGCAGGCCAAAACAATTTACCATTTTAATTCCCCTCCCCCTAAAATCATGCTGCAGCTTTCATCAACAGCTTTATATAAAGATTTCACAAACCTTTTCTACATGTAAAATACATATTAATTCTAATATCTTCAAGTGTTGTAATAGTAGTATCCTGCAGTTAATTATTTAGAAATGCTACTCTCCTCTAATCAGAAGGCCCAAAATGCAAGTGAAGAGAGCTGGAGAGAGGGGTTTTTTTTTGATAGAACTAGTATAGATGGCACTTTGTTGGAAGCAAAGTACAGATTAGAAGGTAACATCTATGGAGGTGCAATGAATTGCTTCAGTTGCAGCTGTGTAGGGAGGATAAGTAATAGAGAGAAAGTGGGATATCAGAAATTTTTACATCTAGTGGAGGCAGAATTCCCTTATATTTTTAGAAGGGTTCTGCTTGATGGACAAGATTACAACTATGCAGGCCTTCAATTGGCAATGGATGTTTCTCAGTTCCCTGAGAATCTTATAGCATGTCTGCCCCAGACACTGTATTAAGCCATATATGTTTCATTCAAGTATTCCTCTTCACTGTGACTAAGCTGTCTACAAGGATTGGATACATCTGGTACTAGTAATCTTAAATTAATGTATAGTTGACAACAATCGCAAATTATTTTGATTTCTACATGTTTTAAAATTACATCCGTACATCTCCACATGATGTAAAGCATATTGACCAGAAAATTCTTTGCATGTTTATTCCACCCATATATAAGAGTAATATATTGGACCATACAGATTAACCCCTAAATAAATAGAAAGTGTACAAAGTGGCAGGAAAGAACTCGCATTGCACTAATTATTAATAAATTTCTAGCTGTTATAATTTAATTTAATTTAATATTTAAATTTATATACCGCCCTTCTCCCGAAGGACTCAGGGCGGTGAACAAAAGAACGGGACCAGAAGAATTCTTTTTCTTCTTCCAGAATCCCTATGAATTTTACAACAAGGCTTTTTGCTAAAGAAAAGTTCCAGCAAAGATATTTCGTCCTCTGTATGAAGCCGTTCACCATTTGCTTATAGCTGAATATTGTGGGCATAGAAGCAGATCCTCAGAGGCATTAAAATAGCCATGGTGGTGATTTATACTATATCTGAGCATAAAAAATCATTTTGCCAGTTGGATTTGCTTCTAAGCAAATGAGTTGAGAGATGTCTTTTGAGAGATGCCTTAACTACAAATACAGTGACTTGGATCTAAAGATACTCTTGCATTTGTAAGAGGTTTCTGTATTGCAGAAGGGGATTCCTGAAACAGCCTTCCCCAATCTGGACATCTTCCAAATGAATGTGGAATTCTGGAAGCTAGAATCCATACATCCAGTGGATTCCCAGATTGGAAAAGGCTGGCTAACAATTTCCATTTACTGTTACTACAGATCTGTGCCACAACAAATGCTAATGGTTCCTAACATTCAGGATGGAATTTAAATTCAGAAAGAGGTGTAAAAGTGCAGGGGTTTTTTACTCAGTCTATTAGCTAAGAAGTCTGTGTTTTATATTCTGGGGAGATGATAATTTCATTTTTCTGATATGCTCTGCATTTGTTACAAATCTGTTTTTAATGATTGAGTGTGGACTGGTTAGTTTTAATTTGCAGCTGCCATATTTTCATAAACTTGGAAGATTAACTTTTTCAGTTAGTGCCATTGTCACATGCTGCAAAATAAGGAACACTGGGTACAGACCTAAATCATCTAGTTCACTGTAACATTTAAATAGTTTATTTTAAAAATGGAGAGACATTTAAAACATATGGGAATTGCTAGAAGAGACAAACTAATATATTTGTTTTAATTTAATTCTGTTCTAATGGCTAAGCTAGAAATGCAAACCAAAGCTAAAATACTTGTTTCTCAATCTTCTGAGTGGGATAACAACAAATAGGAAAAAAATCATCTTGGTTTGAATAATTGCCTATCTGGAACTTTGAAGGTTTCATTCCCTAGGTTTAAATATTCCTTCATATAAACTGCAATCTGGGTCATTAGAATATTTAAGGAAATAATTTCACTGGCTATATGGTAAAATTATATTGCCTTAAGTAAAATGTTACTGTTGCATGATAACTCCTACACAAAACTTTGAAGACCACTATACTAATATTTTGGAACTTATTCCCCTGGGAAACAAAAGTGGATACTTTGGAAAGTAAGAGTTTGACAATATTTGCTTACTTATTACTTATTAAACATTTTGAGTGTATTTCATTTTTATCTAAATTTCTTAAAAATTCAAAATAGTAGCACTTTATGTAATGCTTTACTACTGAAAAACATTTTAGATAAAACAAATCTATTATATGATTAGGGAGAGGTTTAACTTAACGAGAGTTTATTGGGGTGATTCCTAATGTGAATGCTTTAAAGCTTAGCTTTCCAGTTTGCTTCCATCCAGGTTAAAATGCATTAATTAACTCCAAATACTTAATCTTGCCATCTTCCAGATTAATGCATAATATTAATGCTTCTGTATTCATTATAGTGCTAGGACAGCATATTTCATGATATAGCAATGCAGTTCTGAATTGCAACACCTTTTTTCAAATTTAGTTTCAGAATTGTAATAATCAGCGAGATTAAAATACCCCCACAAATAGTTATCAGTTCTTTTATATTTAATTTTCTCAGTATCTGATATTTGCCATAAAAGAAAAATTTATAATGGCCTTGGATCCAGTAGCGTACAATTCAATGTCTAGTTATTTAGACATTTTCAGACTTGGGAGACCTTGGAGGAAAACTTCAAATGCAGCTTAATTATGCAAGCAAAAATTATTGAAACTTTAATATAAATGTGGGAAGGATTTACATGCCCACGGAATGCTTTGATTCCTGTTTAGCATTTTTACATTTGTTTTAAAATCTATAAATCAGCAAGAGTTGTTTGTATAACTTTATAAAGAGTAAGTAGTGCACAAAAATAATTTTAAGAGGGGAAAGTTGCAATTTATGTAGGTAAAGTCTATGATAGAATTGGAGGTTCTAAAACAATTAGCACTAAGTTGTATTGTATTCTATTGTTTAATAAACTAACCAGTATGATTATTTTCACACATTAGAGGCTGGTGTCAAGTGTAATGTTAATATGGATACTAACTAATGATGCGATTCTCCTAGCAAATTCTAAAACAATTTTGTGTTTATATGTAGGATTTCTTTATTTCCTTTTTTTCTGGCACAGGTGCTATTCTGTATGTAAATAATAAAGGATATAAAATTTAGTGTCTGGATCATATCCACTGATCTATGGGTGGCCATATTTATTTTTTGCTGGAATGAATTTGCATGTTTTTTGTGATTTTGTGTTGTCCGGTCTATCTGGATGTACACTGCTCAGTGAATGGGCTTTGACCATCTCATTTATATCTAAAGCCAAGATAACTGGCCATCTTTTGTTCATTGTGCAAGTTTGTTCTCTAGAGATTAATTTGTCCTTGAACTTGCGTATTTTCATTTTTTAGAAACCAAGATAATTCAACTAAGAGCCTGTATATTAAATAGCAGGAAATGTGCTCTGTTTAACATGCACTTCGATTTGTTTAACACTGGACAATGTGGAAAGAATTCATCATTCATCACTGCAGCTACTGTATGTGTTAAAAGGGCCTTATATATTTTACCTGCATTGGAGTATAAGGAGAGTCCTCATCATTAATAAGGTACACTAACGATATACAATACCAGCAGCTCCCAGAGGAAGATAAATATTTAACATTTAACAAATCTTGTTTTTAGTCTTAAGAGCAAATTCCTTCTATTATGTGAAACCTATGCTGTTATACATATTTTGTGGATATATTTAATTTTGATTGACAAATAGTTGTCTAGGTACAAACTTGAAAAATATAGTTTACTTGTGAATCTTAATTGTTTAATTGCAAAATAAAGATGTGCTTTAGTAAAAATGTTAAGTATTTTTTTATTATGAAAACCTGTGTCTTAATTATGCTATATTACTCCCTATCATTTGTATAAATTTTGGAAATTCTAGGTACTTATTTCCTTACAAATAGGAATTCATGCTCTGTGTAAGTTTGCACATACTTGCCCCCAACCAGCACTAAAACTATGTTTAATACTACTTATATTAAAAATTACAAATGAGATGTTTTATTCTGGGCCTACCCATTGCTTTTTGAATTACTTTTCCCAGCATCTTATTCAGAAGTCAAGTAGACTTTGAGATGAAAATGATGAAGAGTGTTTTGTAATAGGTGTTTAATTTATGTTTTCATATGTATATATTTATTTGCTCGTATCCTCTTTTAGACCAACAGATGCTCAAACCAGCTAAGAAACTAAAAAATATAAACTGTAATTAATACATACTTAAGAAACAAACAGTGAATTTAGCCCAACCATGAGACAAACACTCTATTAGAAGATTTATTTTATTTATTTTATTTACTAAATTTTTATACCGCCCCCTCTCCCGAAGGACTTGGGGCGGTGAACAGCCAAAATTAAAAACACACAATACAGATATTAAAATTGATTAAAATGAAATTAAATTATCTTTGGCTTCTCCAATTTAAAACCCCTTGCCCATAAAATTCCCCAATTAAAAGATTTTTAACTCAGCCCGGCTTGCTGAAATAAAAAAGTCTTCAGGGGCTGGCGGAAGGTACGGAGGTCTGGGATTAATCGTATCCCTGGGGGTAGCTCATTCCAGAGGGCGGGTGCCCCCACAGAGAAGGCTCTTCCCGGGGGGGGGTCGCCAGCCGACATTACCTGACAGACGGCACCCTGAGAAGGCCCTCTCTGTGGGAGCGTGTTGGCCGGTGGGAGGTTATCGGAGGCAGAAAGTGGTCTCGTAAGTAACCGGGTCCTAAGCCATGGAGCGCTTTGAAGATGAGAACCAACACCTTGAAGCGCACTCGGAAGGAGAGGTGTCACGTGGGAGCGCCATGTCACCCCCCCATAAGTACCCGCACGGCCGCATTCTGCACCAGTTGGAGCCTCCGAGTGCTCCTCAAGGGGAGCCCCATGTAGAGAGCATTGCAGTAGTCGAGGCGGGAAGTGACGAGGGCATGAGTGACCGTGCATAAGGAGTCCTGATCCAGAAAGGGGCGCAACTGGCGTATCAGGCGAACCTGATAGAAAGTCCCCCTGGCCACGGCCATCATATGCTCTTCTAAAGACAGCCGTGCGTCCAGGAGGACACCCAAGTTACGCGCCCTCTCCGTGGGGGCCAATGTCTTGCCCCCAATAGTCAGCGATGGCACCAGCTGACTATATCGGGACGCCGGCAGCCACAGCCACTCAGTCTTGGAGGGATTGAGTCGGAGTCTGTTCCTCCCCATCTAGACCCGCACGGCCTCCAGGCACCGGGACATCACTTCAAGGGCATCGTTGGGGTGGTCTGGGGTGGAGATGTACAGCTGGGTGTCATCAGCGTACAGATGGCACTGCACCCCAAAACCACGGATAATCTCGCCCAGCGGCTTCACATAAATGTTGAACAGGAGAGGCGAGAGGACCGACCTTGTGGCACCCCACAAACCAAGTGCCTTGAGGTCGACCTCTGCCCTCCAGCCAACACAGACTGCGACCGGTCGAAGAGATAGGAGGAGAACCACCGTAAGACAGTGTCTCCCACTCCCAACCTTCCAACCGGCGCAGCATGATACCATGGTCGATGGTATCAAAAGCCGCTGAGAGGTCTAATAGGACCAGAACAGAGGAGCAACCTCTGTCCCGAGCCCTCCAGAGATCATCAACCAACGCGACCAATGCCGTTTCCATGCTGTACCTGGGCCTGAAGCTGGACTGGAACGGATCTAGATAGACGGTTTCATCCAGGTACTGCGGGAGCTGTCGCGCAACCACACACTCAAGAAGCGAAGGTTGGAAACTGGACGATAGTTTGCCAAAACAGCTGGGTCCAGAGAGGGCTTCTTGAGGAGGAGCCTCACCACCACCTCTTTCAAGGCAGGAGGCAAGAACCCCTCACTCAAGGAAGTGTTTATAATCCTCTGGAGCCAGCCTCGTGTAACCTCCCGGGTAGCCAGCACCAACCAGGAGGGACACGGGTCTAATAAACATGTGGTTGCATTCAATCTCCCCAGCATCCTGTCCACGTCCTCAGGAGTCACAGGGTCAAACTCATCCCAGATAACAGTCTCAAGACACACCTTGGACAACCCGCCTGTACCTACCCAGTCAGAGTCCAAGCCTTCCCGAATTTGAGCGACTTTATCGTGCAGATAATGCGCAAAATCCTCAGCACGACTTGCAAGGGGTCTTCCCGCACTCCCAGATGGAGAAGGGAGCGGGTCACCCTAAACAAGGCAGCTGGGCGATTTTCTGCTGACGCGATAAGAGCGGAAAAGTAATTACACTTCGCCGCCTTTATCGCCACTAAGTAGGTCTTGATATAAGACCTCACTAGTGTACGATCAGATTCGGAGCAACTGGCCCTCCAACTACTCTCTAGGCGTCTTTTCCAGCGTTTCATCCCCCTCAGCTCCTCAGAAAACCAAGGGCAGATTCGGCGCCGGGTCAGAGGCCGCAAAGGCACGACCCGATCTAAAGCACCAGCGGCCGCCCTATCCCAGGCGGCCACCAGGTCTTCCGTCGAATCACGAGCCAGAGTCTCAGAAAATGGCCCAAGCTCCATTTGGAACCTATCAGGATCCATCAGGCGCCTGGGGTGGAACCACCTGATCGGTTCTGCCTCCCTGCGGTGGGGCATAGCGGTCAGGAAGTCAAGTCTGAGGAGAGAATGGTCTGACCATGACAAAGATTCAATAACTATATCCCCTGTATCTAAGCCATTCAACCACTGACCAGAGACGAAAACCAAGTCCAGCGTGTTTCCTCCTGTGTGAGTGGGGCCCTGAATTAACTGGGTCAGGTCCATGGCCGTCATGGAAGCCATGAACTCCCGAGCCACCTCAGATGCTTCACCGATGGACGGCAGGTTGAAATCCCCCATGACTAAAAGCCTGGGGGTATCAACCACCACCCCAGCTATAACACTGAGGAGCTCGGGCAGGGTCGCTGCCACGCAGCAAGGAGCCAGGTACGCAACCAGCAGGCCCATCTGCCTCCCATGGCCCCACTTCACAAGGAGAGACTCACAGCCGGCTATCTGAGGTACAGTGGCCTCCCTAGGATCAAGACCTTCCTTTACAATAACTGCCACCCCCCCCACCCCTACCCTGGGCCCTCGGCTGATGAAATGCGCGGAAACCCGGTGGGCACATTTCTACGAGGGCGACCCCCCCTCCAGGCCCAGCCAGGTCTCTGTAATACCCGCCAGGTCCGCTCCCCCCTCCTGAATCAACTCACAAATGAGGGGGGCTTTATTAACCACGGACCTGGCGTTGCACAACATCAGCCTAAGACCCAGGCTCTGAGACTCCAGACAACCCAGGGAACGAGAAGAGCATTGGGAGCCGGAGCACGTCACCACTTGGAGACAACGGGTGCGTGCCCCCACAACATATGGCCCCCTGCTCCCACCATACCTGCCCCTCCCACCCACGGTCCTGATGACATCGCCCTTTTCCCTACCAATACCAACCCCCTCCGATCACCGCCCCGCACCTCCCCTAATGCGACCCTCTGCCAGGCCTGGTCCCCTCCCCAGCAAATCACCCTCCCTATCCTTTGCCAAACAACCCTCCCCCCTCCCAAAACCCCTTAAAAGATTGGCAAATGACAATTTTAAAAAACCCCTCAACCCCCTCTTCGCCGCATGCCACTTCTCGGGATTCCAAAATCCGTCATCGAGGTAGGCCCTCGATAAAGTGGAGGGCCAATCCTGCAAGAGGGGGGAGTCTCGCAGAACAAGAAGCTCAGTTGCCGAATACATCTTGCCACAGAGGATAAGTGACCATGTCCCAAGGGTCCAGATGGAAAATAAGAGGTCCAAGAGGGAGCAAATAAGATGGGGGCATCCAAAATCTGAGGTCCAAAGTCCACTGTCCTCTCACCACAGTGGGTAGGATCTCTTGCCAAGTCGACACAGTTCAAGGGGGATACAATCCAACCACCCTCTCACAATGATTGATCTGATGATCAGTCCCCTCTTCTTGTGAGATGGAAGTAGTGAACCTTTGCAATATCAGTACAGCACAAGGGGTTAAAGTCCATAGCCACCCTCTCACAGTGGCTGGTCTAATTTTATTTTATTTATTTTATATTGGATTTCTATACCGCCCTTCTCCCTAAGGACTCAGGGCGGTGTACAGCCAGATTAAAAAAAAACATGCAGAACAAATATTAAAAACAATTAAAAGATATATAAATTTGGCCCAATTAAAACTCATTTACCAATTAAAAACGTTTAAAACATTTAAAAACAGTTAAAAATTTCATCTTAAGCCAGCCCGGCTTGTTTAAATAAATGGGTAATAGTCCACAACCACCCTCTCACGGTGGTTGGTCTGATGGTCAGTCCCCTCTGCTGGTGAAATGCAGGTAATACCATACCGACTCCGCCCGAGGGGCACAAAAAAAACCCAAGACCACCCTCTCACAGTGGCTGGTATGATGGACAGTCCCTTCTGCTGGTGGGATGGAACACCGGCTCCCATAATCTCCCAACACAATTTACAGTCCCCCTCCACGGTGTAAATTAGATATTACACTTCTAACTTCTACTGCTTTATATTACTGCATTTCTGTTTTTAATCTCTATTATATAGCTTCAACAATTTGAAGCAGCTAATAAATTAATTAAATACAGAATTACATATAACTAGCTGCCAAAATACAGTAGTATATTGACATATAAAAGGCCAGGCATCTGTTTTGCCTGTCAACAGAAAAATAAAGCATAAGATACTAACCAGATCACTTTTCTTGGGAATCCCAAACTCTGAACAACCCCCAAATTTCATACTTTCTCAGAGGAAAAAGGCCTAAGTCCTACTTGGAAAAAAGGAAAGTTCCATAA